CAGCGAGCTGGCCAAGGACTTCATCCGCCGCCTGCTCGTCAAGGACCCCAAGTGAGGGGTGGGGAGCGGAGCTGGGGGTTCCTCTGGGAGAGGGGACGGTCCCTCCTGCCCACCCTGCTGCAAACAGGCAGCTCCCACACTCCGGGGTTCAGCTCTGAATCCAAAATCTCTCCCCTGCGTGAGGAGTGGGGTGAATTGTGGGATTCCCCCCCAGGGTGCAGCAGCTCTGCTGGGGTCTGGGAGGGGTGAAAGGCTGAGTTGAGCCCCCAGGGCTCTGGGGTGGTTGGAGCAGTGGAGCCATGTGGTTGAATGTCGGTCTGGAGGTTCATCTGCCTGTGTTTGAGGGGTTGGGGGCTGGATGTGACCCCTGCATGGGGAGCCCTGAGTGCAGTGAGTTTGTCTGAGCTCAGCCAGATCCGAGCTGCACTTCCAGGGCTTTACCAGGGAAAGGCAGCAAAGCCTCTGCCCCTGACCACAGCCTTGCTGTGCTTGCAGGAAGCGAATGACCATCGCCCAGAGCCTGGAGCACTCTTGGATTAAGGTGAGAAGTTAAAGAATTGGCACTTTTGGGGTGTCACACCCCCTCAAGGAGGGATGGGTGCTGACAGCAGCTCTGTGCTCCCCAACCCCCCGTGGGGGCCGCTTTGGTGCTGCTGCCAGGGGTCCGTGGGTGGGTGCTGGGGCCACCCAGCTCCTGCTCTGCTGTGTCCCACACCACAGCTGTCCCTCCCACAGGTGATCAAGAGGAGGAACGTCCGGAACGAGGACAGCTGCAAGAAGCCCGAGCGGCGCCGGCTGAAGACCACGCGCCTCAAGGAGTACACCATCAAGTCCCACTCCAGCATGCCCCCCAACAACACCTACATCAACTTTGAGCGCTTCTCCAAGGTCATGGAGGAGGTGGCCGCGGCCGAGGAGACCCTGCGGGAGCTGGAGAGGAACAAGAAGTCCTTCCAGGAGGACATCGAGGCGCTGCGCTCCATCTACGAGGAGAAGGAGTCGTGGTACAAGGAGGAGAACGAGAGCATCGGCCAGGACCTGCGGCAGATCCGGCAGGAGCTGCAGAAGACGGAGGCGCTGAAGAAGCAGGCGCAGGAGGAGACCAAGAGCGTGGTGCAGGCGGCCAACGGCCTCAAGCGGCGCTACCGCAAGCTGGAGAACCGCTACGAGGCCCTGGCCAAGCAGGTGGCCTCGGAGATGAAGTTTGTGGAGGAGCTGGTGTGGTCCATCGAGCAGGAGAAGCAGAGTGGCGAGGGCGACGGCAGCATCCGCTAAGCCGGGCGGCTCCGGCCCTTCCCGACCCCCTCCGGTCAGTGTTCCCCGGCTCTGGTGGTGTGGGGGGTTGTACCTCACTGGAGCCCCCACCATGGGGGGGCTGGGGCTGTGCTCCCCTGGGGTTTGGCTTCCTGCCTGTGGCTCCTGCTTGGCTCATGGCCCCGTGCTCCTCATCACTCCCACTGTGCTTAGGGACACTTCTCGTCACTCCCACCACGCTTGGGGACACTTCTTGTCATTCTCACCACGCTTGGGGACACTCCTCATCACTCCCACCGTGCCTGGGGACACTCCTACCCCATCGCTCCCTCCATGCTTGGGGACACTTCTCATCACTGCCACTGTGCTTAGGGACACTTCTCGTCACTCCCACCACACTTAGGGACACTTCTTGTCACTCCCACCACGCCTGGGGACACTGCTTGTCCCACCCGGGTCCCCGAGCTGCCCCAGCGCCCTGGGGGGGGTTTGGTGGGCAGACCCCCCCTCTACGCTCCGGCAGCAGCCACGCACGGGCCGGGACCAAGGGCTGATCCCTGCGTGGCCCCCCTGGGTGAGCCCTGTGCCCCCCAGGGTGCTGCCCCATGTGCCCCCCAGCCCAGCCCTCGCTCTCTGACCAGAATAAAGGTGTCTGTGTAACGGGGTGGCTGCCTTGGCTCCTGCCGTGGGAGAGGGGCAGGGCTGTGCTGTGGGGTGACAACCCCTCTGCTGCGCTCCCATCCCAGAGGGGTTTCCTAAACTGGGGAGGGAAGAGGTGGGGTTTTTGCCTTATCAGCCCCAGCAGGGCCAGGTGAGCTCACTGTGGGTGTGGAGGGGGCTCTCTCTTGCCTGGGACCCCAGTGCAGGTCTAGGGGGATGAGGGAAGGTTGAGGGATGTTTTATGGAGTTGCAGATCTGTGGGATCTGGGGCTCGGGGAAGGCCCCTGGGTGTGGGGAGGGTCCCGTGGTTTCTGTGGTGTAGGAGCCCAGGAGGGACTTTCCTCTGGGAGGGGCTTTCCTCTCTGGGATGGGCTTTCCTTTGGGATCACCGGGGGCTTTCCGACTGCCCATGGTCCCGGAGCCAAGATCCCGCTGAATTTGATCCGGGGGAATCACGAGCCATATCCCGGGGGATGGCTGGCAGGAGTGTGGATGGCTGGCAGGAGTCCCCCTGGGCCAGGGGGGCTGTGGTGGCTTCACCTTCGGGCCCGGGGGGTTTGCTCCATTTGGGATTTATCTGATGCTCCCTGGGGGTCTGAAGGGGCTGTGTCCCGTGTCCCTGTTCCTGCTGACGTCCCCACGGGTGTAGATTTCATCCCAACCCGTGGGCCACGTGGAGCTGCTGGGAATTTAATCCGCCCTGTTTTTCCGTGCCAAGGCACTTTGGCTCCCGGGGCTGACCCAGTGTCCCAGGGCTGTCCCAGGGCTGTGTCACATCCCCAGTCACATCCCCTGTGCCAGAGCAGCGATCTGACCGTGGTGGGTGACACCAGAGCCTGGCTGGGGTGGGGGTTTGGAATCCCCCCCACCCCTCTGGATGCTGCATCCCAGAGCTCTGGGGGAGATTTTGGGGTGCGGATTCAGCCGGAGCCGGGGCCATTCGATCTGCTGGCAGGGATCTCACCATCACCAGGGGGAGAGGATGTATGGAAATCCTGGAGCACCAGCTGTTCCCGACCCTGCAAAAGTTCACATAGTGCAAAAGCTTCCTGGATTCTCCTCGTGCCGAGGGGTTTGGTTTCACGCTCCCAAAAAACTCTTGGAAGTCACCAGTTGCTCACCCCGGCTGGGAGGTGCCCTGCCCTGCCCTGCCCTGCCCTGGGGGTCTCAGCCAGGTGGATGCACAAAAAACACCCCAAAATAATTTTTAAAAAGCGGGATTTGGGGTGTTCTGGTGCCACCACAGCTGCAGAAAGAGGGAAAACAGGGATTGCTGGGTGCAAAGTGTCCAGGAGGTGAAATACTGCTGGGACTGGGAAGCTGGGAGTTGCAGTGGGATGGGAGGAGGCTGAGGGAGCTGGGGGGGCTCAGCCTGGAGAAAAGGAGGCTCGGGGGGACCTTCTGGCTCTGCAATCGCTGACAGGAGGGGGGAGCCAGGAGGGTGTCAGACTCTACTCCCAGGGAACAAGGGACAGGAGGAGAGGGAATGGCCTCAAGCTGTGCTAGGAGAGGGTCAGGTTGGATATGAGGGAAAATTTCCTCGTGGAAAGGGTGGTCAGACCCTGGAAAAGGATGCCCAGGGCGGTGGTGGAGTTGCCATCCCTGGAGGGATTTAAAAGCCGTGTGGGGTGTGGCCCTTGGGGACACGGATTAGTGGTGGCCTTGGCAGCGCTGGGGGAACTCTTGGATTTGATGGTTTTAGAGGCCTTCTCAAGCTCAGCAATTCCATGATTTCATGACTCTGCAAATACTAAACCCCTTTGGAAGTTGTGTGGTGCTCGGAACTGAGGGGATGTGCTGCTCCCGTGACATTCCGGTGCTGTGACATCCCAGGATGTTCCGCCCCCATTCCCCTCTTTGCAGCCAGAGCTGACACCACCCTGGGGTGTTTCACTCTCTGTGGACAGACAATACCAAAATGCCTTTTTTAGGCTTTAATTCCTGCTTCCCAGAGCCCGGTTGAGAGGCGGGAGCGAGGCTTTTTTTCCCTTATAAGTCTTCCCAAAATCCAAACAGTCCTGCAGGGCTCCAACCGACCCGTGAACACGCAGGAAACCCCCCATGGAAACTACGAGCTGCATCCCACTGGGATCTCTTTTCCTGCCAGGGAGCTGAGCTGCAGCTAATCCGTGGGAAATGCTGCATGGATGCAGGAACATGGGTGACAGGTCACTGGGTGGGTGACAGGGCACAGCAGGGTGTCCCTTGGCCGGGGTGTTCCTCAGCCCTGGAATGGTGTAATCAGAGTGCTGTGGGGCTCCCCAGGCACGCTCAGGGCTGGGAATAGCCTGGGGAATCCGAGGGAATTCCAGAGGGATCCACATCTCCTTCTGAGCACGGAGTCCCTGCTCCAGATATAAAATAATCAGGAGTAAGACGAGGACGAGGTGATGGGTGTGGCTCCTTAAAACACCCCCTGGAGCAGGGTGGGTTTTGGGTGATTCCTCACTACTCTCCTTTTCCAGAGCACTGCTTCTAATTCAGGCCCCAAAACCTCGGGAAGGGACCCACCAGCCAAGTTATTCCAGTGGTTGTGGAGCTCATCCCACGGGAGGCTTTGTATTGACACGGCACTGCACGTGCCACATCATTCCCATGGTTTTAGCCACTGTATTCTCAGGGAAGTGGCAGATTTTGGGGTTAATGAGCCTGCTCAGCTAATTGCAGTGGTGTGGGCTGTGAGAGTGAGCCAAGGACAGCCAGGGTTGTCCCTGGAATTGTTCCCTAAGGCTTGGGAATGCTCCTACCTGGAATGGGCTCACCCAGGCTCTGCCCATGAGTGTCCGTGGTTTAAACACATCCCCTGCCCTCCCGTGGGACCCAGCAGGTCTCCAGGTGTCCAGAGGGGGATCCCAGGCTGGAAGTCACATCCCCAGGGATTTGAGGACCAGTCAGTCAGCAAAGAACCCCCACCTGAGCCCCGAGGGGTTTCCAGTGCCGCTCCTTTCCCACCAAAATTCGGGTGGTGGTTCGGTGTGAACTCCCGAAATGCTTCCCAAAGCCATTCCCACCTCACTGGGAGTTCAAACACACGACGGGAAAGGGGGTGTTGGTGTGTTTTGTTAATTAAATCAGGACCTCAGAAGGAGATTCAAGTGGATTTTTACTGAATTTGAGAGGTGATGTTACAAACAAGCCGTTGCCTGAAGCCTTTCTGTCTGCAGAAGCACAAAAACAGATCTGTTGTTTTCCCAGCGCAGCTCTACTCGTTCTGCTATAAAAATGCTTTTTTTCCAGCTTCTCTTTGGAATATAAAATAATTAATTAAATTAAAAAAAAAAACAACCCCAAAACAAGACCCCACCAAGGCCATCCTGTCCATGGGGTTGGGAATAAGTTATCCTCAGTTTTCAATTATATACAGAAGGGACTTGCCAAAGGGCAGTGGGAGAAGAGTTGACACAAATAAACCCTCCTTCCCACTTCCAAGTATTATTTACATCAGGCTGTACAAGGGTCTTCCAGGTCTTCCCAGACCCTGGAAAGCAAGAAGGGAAAAGGGTGAGTATTATCCAAGGTGTTTCCAGCACGATCCCCTCCCCGTTCCAGCCCTCCCAGGAGGTATTTTATTTACCTATGAGCAATTTAAAAGCTTGTTGTGAATATCTTCAAAGACTTGGTTGTAGAGTTCTTCCCTCGACTTCAGGCCATCTAAATAAACTGGGAAAAAAAACAAAACCTGGAGTCAGGTTGGAGGTTTCCATCAGGAAAAGATTTTGGGAGATCAGATTTAAAATATTTTGGATTTTATCAACCCAAAGTTGGTTTTTTATTGGAAAAAACCAGAACCATCCCAAAACCAGAACAAAATCCTTATTCCATTGTAAAGAATTCCTTCTTTTTAATTTTCCTTTGTTTTTATCCCCTATAAAGTATGAAGTATGAAGCAAAGGGAATGAGTTCCCAGCTATAAAACTGCCTGTATTTATCCAGACAAACCAGGCCAGGATTACAACTTGGGAGTAAAAAATAACCCCTTGCATCATTCCAGCTGAGGTTTTCTTGGATTGAATCACCCAATTCCTTAAATTCCCAACTCCAGGGCTGAAGGATTTGTGTTTGGGGAGAACTTACCAACATCCACACCACAGTCCTCCATCTCCTTCCTGTGTTTTAAGTACATGGGCCAGACGTGTCCATCAAAGAGGCCGGGGGGGTCGGGAACGGTGTAATTCCGTGTGCTGGGAATGACAACAGGGAAAAGGAATGTCCCGGTGAGCCAACAGCTGCTCCGTGGTGGTCATGGAAAAGCTGATTGTCACGGGCCAGTTCCTCAGGGATTGGAGCAAAGGAGGCTCAGGGGGGACCTTCTGGCTCTCCACAAATCCCTGACAGGAGGGGGGAGCCAGAGGGGGAAATCGGGATCTGCTCCCGGGGAACACGGGACAGCCTCACATTGCACCAGAGGGGGTTTAAATTGGAGATTAGGGGGGAAAAAACTCATGGAAAGGGTGGTGAAGCGTTGGCACAGGCTGCCCAGGGCAGTGGTGGAGGCACCATCCCTGGAAGTGTCCAAAACCACGTGGATGTGGCCCTTGGGGACAGGGGCGAGTGATGGACACGGTGCTGGTTGGACTCGATCTCAGAGGTCATTTCCGGCCTCAGCCATTCTGTGACTCTGAGTTTAGCACCTGAAAGTCTCTTTCTCCACTTTGATTCAAAATTTCCCACTCTAAACACCAATTCATCCCATTCATTGTGGGCTCCCCATGCCTGGAAGTGTCCAAGGCCAGGTTGGACAGGGCTTAGTTGGGATAGTGGAAGGTGTCCCTGCCCAGGGCAGGGGGGTGGAATCAGACAATCTTCCAACCAAACCATCCCATGATTCCATGATTAATAGCAAGTTAAGGGATCTGTCCTTTAACAGAAAGAAGGATTAGATTGACAGCAAAGAACCTTCTCACCTCCTCCTCCTCTTGCACTCGTCGTACGGCACTGCCAGGTAGTACCGGATGTCAAACAGGTCAATCAGTGGCCTGGGGGAGGGCAGAGAGAAACAATGTGATTATCTGATTTTTAATGCCAGGAGAAAGTGTTAAATCACCCCAAAATCTCTCTGCCTCTCTGGTGTTTGTGGAGGACAACCCAAGTGGGAGTTCTTTCCTCACGGGCAGTGGGTTTGTGGGTTGTTACAAAGGTGTTTTCTGAAGGTCAGAATGGCAAGGGAGGGGCTTTTCCCACCCAAATACCTGCCACTGATCCTGAGGAGGATCACACAGGATCCTGTGGAGGATCAGACACCTGGCTCATTCCAGACCCTTCTAAACTCAGTGTGCAGGAACCCAAGCTGTGATTCACCAATTAAATCAAATCAAACCAAATCAAATCAAACCCTGGGGCTGTGAGAATATGCAGCAAAATTTGGCACAAGGCAACTCCTTGGCTCATCTTCACACTCATGGAAGTGTCCAAGGCCAGGTTGGACAGAGCTTGGAGCAACCTGGGCTAGTGGGAGGTGTCCCTGCCCAGGGAAGGGACTTGGCACTGGATGAGCTGGTTGGATGTCCCTTCCAACCCAGGAGAAACAGCCTCAAGTTTTGCCTTGGGAGGGTCAGGTTGGACATCAGGAATTTCTCCATGGAAAGGGTGCTCAGGCATTGGAAGGGGCTGCCCAGGGGTGTTTGGAGTCCCCAGCCCTGGAGGTGTCCAAAGAACAATTGGATATGGCCCTCAGTGCTCTGGGCTGGGGGTTGGTCACAGCTTGGACTTGATGGGCTATGAGGTGTTTTCCAACCTCAGTGATTCCAGGTTTGGTGGTGGAATATTCCCTCTGGGCAAAGGAAAGGGCTGTGGGAACAGGCCTGAGTGTTTCAGGGGTGTTTGTAACCTTCAGGAGACACTAGAGTTGCTCCCTGGGGAGAGGCCAGGAGCAGGAGGCACTTTGCCAGCACCATCTCCAGTTGGCCATTCCTGGCAGGATTAATCCCAGGCTGTTCCCCCAGTTTGGGAAGCTGGGCTGGTGCTGTCTGGGCTGGTCCAGCCTGTAACAGCTCCAGCTTTGCCAAGTGTCACCAACAGCTCCTTCTCCTGAAAGGATTTTGTCAACAAAACTCCACTTTGGAGCCAAGAATGTTTCTCTTGTCACGTTTGCTGGGGGTGATTGGCTGAAGTTTATATATTTAGCTATTGGAATGTTTCTCTCTCTTCCCTGCTCGTTCTGTCTCCCCTTCTCCCTGCCAAGAATTTCCCTGCCCCTGGATAAAAAAGGCAAAAATAGGCTGATCTTCACTCCAGTGTTGGAATCCTGGAGTGGGTTGGGTTGGAAGGGACCTTAAAGCCACCTCATCCCACCCTGTGCCCTGGGCAGGGACATCTCCAACCATCCCAGGTTGCTCCAAGCCCTGTCCAACCTGGCCTTGAAGTTATTTCATTCTTAAGCTGAGTTTAGTCAGGGTTAAACAAGTGAGAGAACTGTTCCTAAATTCCAGGGGAGGTTCCAAGCAGTGAATGGTTTATCTGCTTGTTCTCATCAGTGAGTTTTCAGGTGGGGGTGAGGGGGATCCCTGTGCCCCTCTGCCACCTCAAATCCTGGTCTAAACCCCCCTCTGGAGTTTTAGAGAAACTCACATTATTCCCTTCACTCTTTTCATCATTTAGGGGTTGATTTTTTTTTACAGTTTCCAGCAAAAACCCTTCAGGGTGAGAACTCAGAACAAGGCGTGGAATTAATAAAAAACAAAAAAAGGAGTTTTTAGCTGTGGCACGAGGGACCTTCCCTGGCAAACCATGGAGAGTTCCCCAAACCTTACTTGTAATTATAAAGCAGGAAGCCTTCAATGACCAATATATGGATATCTTGGGAAGTTGGCTCTTTAGAGCCAGGTGTGACATTCACCCCGTGGGAACGGGCAAACTTCACGGGGTTCTCAATCCAGGCCCGCACCGTGCTCACCATGGCCTCCATATCCAGGGAATCCAACACTGGATTGGGAGAAAGGGGGGGATAGAGGGGTGGGTGGGGAGGGAAAAAGGGACACGATCAAACCACCACGAAACCGCACGGGAAGAGTGAAAAACAGCAACGAAAATAAAAAAAAAAAAAAATTAGATAGGATGAACTCGTAGGAATTAACAGAAATTTACTGTTAAGGCTTTTTTTTTTTTTTTTTTTAATAATTAAAAAAAATAACAAAAAAAAAAAGGAATACTTAGGTAAAAAAATATACATTACTGCATCCTATAGCGAACACTGCTCTTACCATCCCATTGTTTAAAGCCGTCTTCCCCGACTTCTATTTGATCTTGTGGCTGAAATATAGTGAGCAATAAAACATTGCTGCAACCTCAGCGTGATCAGTTCCCTACGAGCCGATCACCACCTGGGCACTACTGCAAACACACACAACAAGCAAGTGGTTCACCCACAGTCACAGACCCCCTGCGGGCAACACCAGCCTTTCCATTCCCGTCTCTCACCAACCCCGCCAGGCTCGGAAAAGCCGCCTGGGCTCGCTCAAACCACTTTGGGTAAAGGCTTGGAGCTTAATCCCCTGATACGGTGTTAGTAAAAATAAAAAAATAATATGTAAATCGGCGTCTAAGAATTTAAACTGCCAATCTAGCGTTAAGGAAGTGCTAAAATTGGCATTTTGCAGGAGTAGCTGGTTTAAGTCTAATAAGAAATGCAGGTGGGCACAGCAGCACTTTGGTCACGCAGTGACAGCTTTGCTGGTGCTGGTGCTCAGGGAGGGAGAAGTTACACATCTTTATGGGATAATAAACTGAATTCCTCCTCCAGGGGCTCCTGTGTGACCCAGTCTGTGGTTTAGGTTTTTGGAAAAGCTTTTCCAAAGGAATAGCTGGCTCTGCTTGGCACTTGCTGTGAGGGCACGACAGACCCGGCACATGGTGCTGGAGCTCCTCGTGTTTTAGGGGATGACACAGAACTGCCCCAAGTACATTCCTGCATCTCTTGGACTTCCACCTGGGATATTGTCATTCCCAAAGAATGGTGCAGTGGTTTAGTGACTTGGTTCTGCACTCCCAGGTAGGAGGCAGCAAGCAAAGGTCTTCTGCTTTCACCTCTGCAATATTTTAGTTGGGTTCTGATGCAGAGCTGTCAGAGCTCCCCCAATAAAACCCCCTTCCCGTATTTAAACCAGCACAGAGGTGCTTAAATCCCAAAGAATCATTTAGGAGCCACGTTTTTGCTCGAGTAAAACAAGGAGGGAAAACCCAACGTGGAGCAAATGATTTGTGGAGAGCACAGTAAATACCCTCTGACTGAAACGAGCAGTTTGACCCAAGGTTATGTCTGTAGTTAACACCAAAAGGCTTTGCTGTGACCTCTCTGAGATGGGTCACGCCAAGTTCCCGTGGCATTTGTAAAGGTCAGGAACTTCCCACCTGTCCAGTCATTTAAAAATTAAATATATTAAAAAAAAAACCACAACGCACCCCACCTAAAATCAGGAAGCGTGTGGCTCCTAAGCTGTCAAAACTGACTCGGTGAGCATGCAGGAGCACCCAGCACTCCCAGGGGACCCACCACAGCTCTCCCTGCTCAGATAAGCAGCAATTAACGCTGTGAGGGAGAGGGGGCTCGGCTTACCTTGAAGAAATCGTCCTGGTGGACCACGCAGCAGTTGGGGAGAGCCTTGATGAGCCTGTTGGTCAGGGTGGTTTTACCACCATTGGTGACACTGCAAGGGGGGGAGACACAGAGATGGGAGAACAGCGTTAGAAATGGGTTAGAGCCCAGTCTGAGAGAGACACTGGGAACCCACGGGGCTGTGGGGGGACCCCCTGGCCTGAAGGAGCAGAGCCCTGAGGGACGGGGGTCCATGGGGTGGGGACACTGAGGGACCCAAGCCCATGAAGGGGACCTGTTTGTGACCCGCCCTTTGGGACGCGAACCCCGGCCCATGGAGGGAGACCCTCAGAGACCCAACCCCATGAGGCGAACCCGACCCTAAACCCATAGGGGGACACCCTGAGGGTCGCGGGTTCCGATCCGCCCTGAGGGGACCCCCAGCAAAACCACGTTCGAATTTCCCGCCTCCCCAACGGCGGCCGCCGATTGGCTGCAACCTCCAACCGCCCCTTCCCTTTCCCGGCCGCCGATTGGCTGTGACCGCCTCTCTCCCCCTGCCGGGCCCCGCCCCTTCGAGCGGCGCGCGCGCGTAACGGCCGCGCCGGTTCCCGCGCGCGCGCAACGGGGGGCGCGCGGGGCCGCCATGGCGGCCCCTCAGGGATCCGGGCTGTGAGGGGGCGGCCATGGCCATGGCCGCCCCCTCACAGCCCGGATCCCTGAGGGGCCGCCATGGCCGCTCCCTCACAGCCCGGACCCCTGAGGGGCGGCCGTGGCCGCCCCATCACAACTCAGACCCCTGAGGGGCCGCCATGGCCGCCCCCTCACAGTTCGCCCCCTCACAGCCCAGACCCCTGAGGGACCGCCATGGCCGCCCCCTCACAGTTCTCCCCCTCACAGCGGGGACACCCGGCCCAAGATGGGGCCTCCGAGCCGCCCCCGCTCCGCTCCCTCCGGGCGCCCTTCCAGCCTTCCCCCCCCGAGGGCTCCGCTCCCTCAGGGCGGCTCAGGCTCCCTCGTGCCCCTTTTTAAGGTAAAACCCCCGAACAATCGTCGTCTCCCATGGAGAGCTTGCTCCTCATGTTTTATCCCGAGGCTGTACAAACCCCTCAGTCCTATATTATTAATATAATAATCGTATTATCCATCAGTGCTTCCTTCTCCCAAACCCTCCCGCTGTGCTCTCGTGCTGTCCCATCACACACAGGCTTCCTAAATCCTACTTTTTAAAAGAAATTAAAAGCTTTTTTTTACACACCACTACCCCCCCTGTCTTGTTTGAAACAGCGTTTCCCCCTTCGTGGTCTTTCAGAGAAGCTTTTTAAAGAATTTTTTTTGGCTCTGTGACCTCTAAATTTACTTGAGGTACTTTTTTCCACCTCAGCATCCCTCCTATTAATCCTATAAAAGGATATATAAAACTATAGATAAAAATATATATACATATACACACAAATATGTAAGAACTGTACATAAATATATAACTATTTGTATATAAATATACAAAGAGAATATATAAACATATAAAATATACACATAAAATGTATATAAAAGTATATATAAAAGTATATATAAAAGTATATATAAAAGTATATGCTGCCCTGCAGAGCTCTCTATATTAAAGCAGCATATGTCCTGTTAATCCTATACAAGTATATATAAAAGGATATATAAAATAATATAAAAGCATATATAAAAATACATATTAGATATATAAATTACACACAAAAGGACATATAAATTACATGTAAAAGCTTATGCCACCCTGCAGAGCTCTCTGTATTTAAGCAGCGTTGCCTCATCTCTCAACTCCTGTACCCTGAATATTATTTTATAGCCAGATAATTAATCTCCAAGCCTTCTATACAATAATTAAAAGAAAAAATAACATATATCCCCCAAATTAGCAGGCACTTACCCTCCGATTCCTATGATATATCTCATTTTGCCGAGCCGCCTCCTTTACCGGAATGTGGCGAGGAAAAAAAAAAACAAACCTATTTAGAAAGGCTGAAACAACTTTCAGAGGAAGAAAAACTACGGCTGCCCCTGTTCCCTCTTTGCTCTGACTCAGCTTTGCCTCCCTGACTCGTTCATTGAGGGGAAAAGGCGGATTTGGTGGCGGATTTATAGGGCCGAGTCCCCGCCCCGGCGCTGATGGAAGAGCCCTGTGACCATCATGAGCCCCGTGTCACATTTTGGGGGGGGCTGAGCCAGTCCTCGTCCCAACGTCACATCTGGGGGGGCATTCGGCCAACCCTCACCCCAGGGTCACGTTTTGGGGGGGTTCAGCCACCATCCAATGACACATTTTGGGGGGGTGGGTTCAACCCTCATCCTGTTGTCACATTTTGGGGGGGTTCATCAAACCCTCTGATGTCTCATTTTGTGGGGGCTCCTCCAACCCTCTGATGTCGCATTTTTGGGGGGGTTCAGCCCTCATCCTGTTGTCACATTTTGAGGGGGGTCCAACCCCAATGTCACATTTTGGGGGGAGGTTCAGCCATCCCTCCAATGTCCCATTTTGGGGGAGTTCAACCCTCACCCTGATTTCACATTTTGGGAGGGGGGGATTCAGCCACCCCCTGATATCTCTTTTTGGGGAGTTCAACCAACCCTCTGATTTCACAGTTTGGGAAGGGTTCAGCCACCCTCTGATGTCCCATTTTGGGGTGGTTCAGCCACTTTCTTATATCCCATTTTGTGGGGGCTTCCACCCTCACCCCAAAGCTGCATTTTGGAGGGGGGTGTTCTGCATCCCCCCCAATCTCACATTTTGAGGGGTCACAAACCCCAACTCACATTTGGGTCTAAACCCCCTCACATTTTGAGGGGGGTCTACGAAACCCCCAATCTCACATTTTGGGGGGGGTTCTACAAACCCTCAATCTCACATTTTGGGGGGTTCAGCCCACCTTCCAGTGTCCCATTTTGGAGGGGTTCAACCCTGGCCCCGATGTCACCCTCTGGACCTGCACCTGTCCCTCTCCCTCGCCGGCCCCGTGCCGTGACGGGGCCAAAAATAACTTTTTGGCGAGCTCGTCCTTTGCCTAAATTAGTCATGGGGTAGGTGGAAATGTCACCCCTTTTGACAATTCCCCCTGGGGCTGGGGGAAGGCTCAGAGGTGTGTGTGGATAGAATTAAGTCGGCTTTTTTTCCTTGCTGTCTCTCCCTTCCGTTCCTTTATTCCCCAATTCCCACTGGATTATTTGAAACCAGGAGGAAGAATTTTTCTCTAAACTTCTGCTGGGGTGGGAGGGGGGGGAGGAGAAGAGGGAATTTCATTTTAATTTTATTTTTTTACTCCTTTTAATCAAGCTGTTCGGAGTGTGGAGAGGCTGAGCAGTGAATCCACCTAGACTGTCTCCCTTTTCCTCTTTAGGAGAAACTTTTTGAACATCTTATTTTATATATATTTATTTTACAGAGTCCTAACATTATCTGTCCAGAGAGTCTCCTCCTCCACAGTTTATTTCAGTAAACTTTTTAAGGTAAGTTCAATCTACCTGAGCTCCTTTCTCCAGTAAATACCTCTCACCATGTGCTTTAATTTGAATTATTCCAGCTGCTTCTAACATTGTCTCAGCAATGCCAGGTGAAGGCAGAGTTACCAACAGCATTTCTTTTCTCAGATGGGAACTCTATAATGTGCACTTTTAAATGATATCTTGCCTTAAATCACCCAAATCATCGTGTGCCTTTATAAAATCACTCCATCCTGTGCCCACAGGAGTGCAGAGATGCTGCTTTAATTCTGATTTTTGGGTAGTACCTCCATCATCTACTCACTGTCTGTGAAGTATTTTGCCCTGAGCTGTTCAGCTCTTACAGTAAAAAATCCAAATATCCAGGATTTCCCCCCTAAGAATCCAAGAGAAGTGGTTTTTTTTTATTGTTGTGGTTTTAAAATTTTTTTTAATTATTATTTATTTATTCAGAGCTGCTCCCAAGCTGTTCTTAAATTGAATTTCTCTGTTTCACACCTGAGAAGGGGGTTGGTTTGTAGCCTAAACCCTCCTTTTGTCTCACCCCAGCTGTGTCCGTTGGGCTAAAAAAAAAAAATAAAATAAAATAAAGAGGTTTATTTTTCTCTACAAAGCTGTTTTCTGCTCCTCAACCACGAGGCCAAGGCCCAGTGCTTTGATCATGAATAAACATGGACTGCAAATTAGAAAATTATTGACTGCCACAGGTCAAGATTCTGGAGGTCTTGCAGTGAAGATACAGAAGGCAAGAAAAGAAATTGGGTTTGAGGGAGAACCTGGTAAATTTGTGGGTGGGAATTGAGCAAATTTTCCAGCCTTAATTCTGAGTGATTCCACTTATTATTTATGGTCAGTGTTAACAGACAGTTGGTTGTTGGCAGACACACCGCTTGTAATTCCACTTTCACCCCCATTTCCAAGGTAAAATGGTAATTCCAGAGGAATTTGGAGCTTGGATTCTTGAATTGGAGTGAGCCACGACTGCCAGGGAAGTCGGATTTCCAACCGCTTCCCAGGCATTTGCTGGGCAAAATTGACCTAAAATTCCCTCCCTGCTCAACATTTTTATGCCCTTTATTGCTTTTCTCTCCCATCCCTGAGCTAGGAAGGTGTCTGGCTTAGAGAAACCAGATTTCAGGGATTATTTTGCCACGTTTGGAGGGGAAAAATAAAAAAAACCCAAACCAGGAGGCTCCAAAGTTGTGTCCAGGTTCTGAGGGGACACCAGCTCTGGTCACCTCTGCTCCAGTTCTTTGTGCTGGAGACCTGCTAATCCAAATATTTTTGGAACATGCCATCCTCAGGAGTGAAGTTTGAGTTCTGCCCAGCTGGCTTTGCCAAGGGGGACACGGTTCAGGAGTGCAGGTGGGGTTTTTATCCTTGGAAATAAAGATGAGTATGGGGGATAAACAATGGATTTGAAGTGCAGGGAGCAGACAGGGATTGTGGTGGGGTCTGGGGAATTCCAGAGCACTGCCCCACTGCCTCCACAAGGAATTATAACCCTCTGTTTGTCCTGAAAACAGGAGGGATGAAGGACAGGAGGCACATTTGTGGTTTTTCAACCTCACAGCTGCAAATCTCATCCCTGTCAAGTGCAAAAAGCTCGTTTTTCCCTCGGGGTAAAATCTCCTTTTTAAACCTTTATTTTTATTTTCCCTCCCTCAGTGCTCCTGTGGCTGTTCCTGCCTTTCCCTGAGTTTGATTTTAAGCACCTTGAGGTGGTTTTGCTCTCCCCCCTTGTCCCCTGCTCATGCCCCCAAACATCCTGGGAGGTGGCATTCACCCCACATAGCTCAAATTCCCAGATTCCTGGCTGGCCTCAGCCCTGCTGTTCCCTTTGGAGGTGCCCTGTGCCTGCCTGTATTTGGAGCTCACGTTCCAGCTGCCTCCTGGCTCCTTCCCTCCCAGCAAACCCCACCGGTGACACAGACGGTGACACTTCCACTCCCCAGCGACCCCAAACTTCCCCCAACCCGTAAAAATACAATTTATGCAAATGGCAGATGTTCATAAACACCTTTTTTTTGCCCTGTTTTTGAGTGAGTTTCGTGTTGGGCCTCTGAAACTTCCTTTTTTTTTTGGGTGGGGGGGGTTTGTTTATCCCCCAGCCACGTTTATCTGCCTGACACTTCCCTCATACAAATGCCATTCACCACCGGGCTTGAATCAAAGACAGGGAATGTTCCCTCTCTCCACGTTTATTTTTAGAATACTAATGTTTACTAAAAGTGAACGTGAAATCTTCTTTGTTTAAAAAAAAAGGAGCTAAATTTAGCAGGAGGCAGTTTAAGAATCGTGGAGCCATCGGGGCATTATTTCCCTGCGGATGGTTTGGTTTCTGGGTGCCCACTGACCTTTCTGCTGCAAGATGTGACTCATTTCTTCTGCAGCTTTTAATTCCCACTTTAAATCCCTCACTAATCATAAGACATTGGGGATGGGACCAAGGTTAGGCCAAGGTTCCTCCTGCCAGGAACCTGCAGGGGGGAGATGTCAGAGGCGAGGAATGAGGGTCATTTTCACTCAGGAATGTTGAAATTTGGGGTTATTTGTTCTTTCCAGAGTGTTGGGTGGCTCCTTCTCCGAGGTTTGGGGAGGTTCCTGAATCCCCTCTGGAGGAAGGTGGGTTTTTATTGGAAGGAAAAATGGGAGAACATCAAGGGAGCAGCACTTTGTGAACCTCCAGCAGCTCCCTGTTAGGAAAATTCGGGTTGTGGAATGAGAAAGTTAATTAGTGGAATGTTGGGCTGTCCCATGCAGGAGTTGAACTGGATGATGATCCCCGTGGGTTCCTTCCAGCTCAGGATGCTCCAGGATTCCATGAAAAGCCCACATGAAGGGAATCAAAGGAGCAGATTAATCTGAAGTGAGAAGGAAGGGAAAAGTGGAGCCCCAGGGCAGGCAGCTCGTTAGTGAGGAGTTCCAATCAGAGGTGGAGGAATCCTTCTCAGTTCCCAAAATATCAGATTATACAGGTGTTTCACTCCCCACACTGCTCTTCCCAAACTTTCCTCACTCCAGCCCTTTGGAGCTGCTGGCTGTGACACTCCAAGAAAGGACCTTCCTTCGAGTCCAGTGGAATTTTGTGTCATGGGAGACAAAAATGGGTAAAATATGCAAGAAATGCCCTATTTGGGATCCGTGGGGTGCCAGGTAATCATTGCAGCAATTCCAGGGATAAATCTTGAAAAGGATGCCAGACATTTCCAGTGTCACTGGACGGCTGGAATGTGTTTGGGGATGTTTTGACATGAAATTAGCCCCCATCTGGGTGGTGCTATAAATTAAAGTAGCGAGGAATTCAAAAGCATTTTTAAAGAGTAACAGAATCCCCATTTTTTAATCTCTCTGGTTTATATTCCAGGAGTGGAAATGTCTAATTTTACTCCTCAGTTTTGGCCAGTGTGGATTGCAGTGATGGATGAGAGGAGGGAGCAGGAAAACTTGTGGATTGTTTGGAAAATGAAGGAGGAGAAGGAACAAGACAAGAGAGAAGCACTGAAGCTTTTCCCAGCAAACACACTGGGAAGGAGCTGGATTTTTGGGGTTGGGATCTCTCCAAATTTGGAGTTTAGGACAGGGTTCATGGTGGTAGAACTGGCAATCATTAACCTCGACTTGTTTACCTGCAGCTCCAGGTACTAAAAACAACCTGAACACAACAATTCAGGGAACTGAAACGTTTTGGCATTTCAGGAATGAAAACAAGGTCGAAATGGGTTGATGTGGGGCCAGAACCACCTGGGATTTCTCTTTCCTTGCCATTCCAGGTACAAAATCCTGCTCTTTACCCCTCAAATTTGGGCATTATTCTGTCTAAACACCGAGTTTTCTGGGGTGGCCTGAAAATCCACAACCCACCTCACGTGAATTTTAGCTTTTTTCATCCACTGATTTTAAGCTCAAGATCTCATTTTTAGGTTGGTGAAAACAAAGTGGGGTAGATCTCACCCTTCATGTGGAGTTTAATTGTTTAGAAGTGGGGGGAAATAATTGCCTGGAGCCGGGAATTTTGGCTTCTATTTGTGAGGGAGATGCCTGGGAATATTCTGGGCCATAATTAGCCCATTCTTCTTAAATATTCAACTTCATTCAGCAGCCTCAGTCATTGCAGAGGGAAGAACATGCACGTGGGAGAAGAGATTCCCACTTGGGTGACAGTTTTAATTCACAACTCGTGTGACAGAAGGGGTTCCAGTAGTGAGGAGGTGGAAAACACGGATTTGTCACTCCAAGTGCAAAACTGAGGTCGAAATGGGAAGGGATTTTTCTGGTTTGGAGATTAAAAAAAAAAATAACCAAACAACAACCCAGGCTTTTAAAAACTATTTTTACCTCCCCAGGGTGATAATTTTTTGTTGGTTTTTTTTTCCTGCCTTAAAATTCGAGCTGGTGAGGAAGCAAATGTGAGATCCATAAAGGCAGCAGGAAATTTTGGGTGGGTTTCAGGCACCTAATTCAAAGAAAATGAGTCGTGAAGATTCCACGTGTGGCTGGTGGGGGGGTTTTATAAACTTGGAATGGAAAAATATCTGGAAAATTAACCTGACACTCTGCTGATCTTAATCCCAGGTGCCACCAGCCTGGCTAAAAGGAATATAAATACACCTGGATCTCTTGGAGAGGAGTGAGGTGAGTGCCCAACTCACCCTGAAAGGCCTTCCCTGGTTCCCAGGATGAGCCTTCTTGGCTTTTAAAGTCTGATGAATGTAAAGAAGAATATAAATTTCAATATTAAAATAATTAAATAGAAATAATAATTTAATAGAAATAATTAACATAAAAATTAACAAGGGTTTACTGGGATTTGTTTGAGTTTTTTTCCTAAATGGCTTTGAGTTGTTTTTTTGTGGGTGTTTGGTGTTATAATTTAATGATGATTCTGATTTAATTCCCAGCCGTGTTCTTAACCGGATTATAAAAACAGATGTAAAAATAAAATGGGATTAAAAAAACTCGAGTAGAGTTGATGGCAACCCAAGGAAAGCGATTTTTCCATGACTCTTTCCTAAAGCTGAAGGAATCTGGGAAAGATCATCCTCCAGAATAGAAGTCATTTTCCTAAAAAAAAAAAAAACAAACCCACCAAAACACTTTGATGATGTTAATTTTGCAGGGTCAGAATTTCCAGGGGACGACTTTGACTGCCTCTCTTCAAGGGAACAGCATCCAAACGAAAAATTTCCATCATATTTTCCACATGGAGACAAAGTCTAAATAAAAGCTACTGACAATGGAAAAAAAAAAAAGAAAAAAAAATAAAAGAGAGGGGGATGCAGTTTTTGCTGAAGGATTAGTCTCATTTTAATTGAATATCCACAGATTTTTATGGAATAATACAAAGCAAAAACCTGAATACATATTGAACAGAGATCTAGGTCTGCTACCACCAACCACCTAATTACAAACACTGTAGAAAAATGACATTTCACACGGTTTTTTGTCGTTTGTTTGTTTGTTTTTTACAGGTTGGTTTGGGTTGAAAGGAAAAAAAAAACAAACTAAAGTGTAACAAAAAAAAAAACCCTGAAATTGTGGTTTCTTGTCACGGTGAGTTGGAAAATTCACTTTACCAGGAACATGCTGTATTTCTGCCTGCCAGGAAATAAGGAAATACAAAAGAGAAAACATGTGCTTTTGTGTTTAGAGCCATTTTTCTGTCCTCTTTTCACCCTCCTGGCAGCTTGTTGTCACCAGCCTTTCCCTCCCTCACTCCTGTGGTTTTTTTAATCCCTAGAGCTTCCAAAAAAAAAAAAAAAAGAAGATTTGTTGCCATTCAAACCTTTCCCACCAGGGGGTCTCTCATTCCAGGAGTTTGCAAATTGTCTTAAAAAAGAAAATTTAGGTGGAAAAAAAACTGCCACGAGGGAAGCCTCGAAATACCCACTCACATTTCCGAGGTATTGTGCAGGAAAACTTGGAGCAGGTCCAGCTGGAATATACAGGAATATTCCTGGGCCTTCCTCGTGATCTGGGATGAAACTTGGTGGACAGGCCCAAAATCCTGGAGGATTCTCCATAAAAAAAAAAACAAAACCAATAAAAAGAAACCACCAAAAAAAACCCCAAGAGTTGTTCGAGCTGTCTGGATCTGAGAGGGGGCCTTGGGGACAAATCCTGTGGCAACCTCGAGGAGATGGGAAGGGCATTCCCGGCCTGGAATCAACTGCACAGGAAGAGATTTGATTTGATTTGATTTGATTTGATTTGATATGATTTGATTTGATTCGATTTGATTTGACGTTCAGGTTGTGGGAGATGAAATCCAACCCTTCAATGACACCACGAGGAGGACAGCCCAGCTTTTGGTGAGGGTAAAACAACTCCTCCAGCAGCTGAAATGTGACTTTCCATGGAAAAAAAACTCCTCAGGAAGGCGGAATCCGAGAGCAGAAAGTGTTTTTCACACGATATGAAGTCCAAATGTTGATCCTCCAGAGGTGGTTTTATGAGGCAGGAACAAGGCTGGTGGGTCCAGCAGTGTTGATAAAGTTGATTTAATTATCAATTTTATGTTTTTAAATATATATATATATACACACACACAAAGCTGTGATGGAAATGCAGCAAAAATTCAGGTTTAGCCACACCCAGCTGATTTTTGTCACTTTGTGTTTGGGAAGAGGGACAATGACAACTTTGTGGGTTTCTATCTGGGAATTTGTAGCTTTTTTTTTAGGCAAGCAACACCTAAAATCAGTGTGTGAAAGAAGTGAATTATTTTTTAAATTTGTTTTTACATTTAGCTCTGATTTATCCTTTATGGACTGCAGGTTCTTCTCTAAGTCGAAGAGACACATTAACATCATCCATCCATCCATCCATCCATCCATCCATCCATCCATCCATCAATCCATCCATCCAGGAACATAAATCTTTATACACTCATAAAATCCTGTTAAAAATGAAAATACAGTGCATGCCACTCCCTCAGAAAGTGCACTTCTTGGGAAAAAAAATTGGCTCAAAGAACTTCTAAATTGACTTTTGTGGATTGAAAGAACTGACTGAGGTGGGATCTGGGGGTGAAATTGGTGATCTGGCCTTTTCCACGGCTGAAATTCCCTTTTCCTGAAGGAACTACTCGGAAAAAAATATGAAGTTTCATGTTCACATCCTGCTAATCTCATTTTTCCTGACAGTGGAGGCAGAGTGTCTTTGGAAGGAGAGAAAACAACCCAAAAAATCACATTGCTGAGGATCCAGGGCCTTGAAATCCTTTGTCAATAATAATAAATAATAATAATAATAATAAATAAATTTATAATGATATTTCTAGAAAGCTGTGGAGCTCGATGCTTGGTTGGTGCTCGTTATTAACATGCCAGTGAGATGGAATGGGGAGGGTTTTTTCCATCTTCACCCAGCCTGGGTGGATGTTGTGGGTGTTCTGCTTTTCATGCAAAGGTCTGGGCAGCAGATACATCCACGACTGAAGTGCAGGAGAACAGGTCTCAAAGGAGAACTAACCTTGAGAAGGGAATATTTGGTGCTTCTTTGTAGCATCCAGGGAAATAAAGATCTCACCCAGGGTGGTTTTACTCACTAAAAGGGAAAAAAAAGAGCAGCTTTGTGTATCCAGGGGGAGCCGTCCCTGCCTTGAGGGAAATCTTGCTTGGCCAGAATTCTCCTGGAAATCTTCTTGAAGTGGTGCAACAGGCAGGTCATTCTCCATCTGCAGGTGTCTGGGAGGGGTTTTACCTGATCCCAGAGTCCCAGAATGGGATTTTGGGTTGGGTTGGAAGGGACTTAAAGCTCATCCAGTGCCACCCCCTGCCATGGGCAGGGACACCTCCCACTATCCCAGGCTGCTCCAAGCTGGCTTTGGACACTTCCAGGGATGGGGACGTAACCTGGGTCTGCTGAAGTAACTTCCAAATGATTTTGACTGGATGGTTGTTCCTTAATTTGCTTTTCCCCTCCTTTGCTCCAGAGGATCCTCACGAGCCGCAGATCCAAATTCCCAGAGTCGATGTCGACGCCTTCACCTCTCGGCTCCGGACACTCAGCCCAGTCCCGTGCCCTGCATCGTCCAGGGAAGGGGGGATATTCCAGGCAGGAATGCTGATGGATGAGGGCCCTCAGGAGAGGAAACTTCCAATGTTTTAGCAGCTTTTCTCCGCAGTGGGAGGTGTCTGACAGCGAGTGATTGTCCAGTGTGGTGACAACAAAGGCAAGGAGAACGTTCCTGTCCGTAAGGCCCCTCCTGAACCCAGAGCTTTTGGGGCTGCTCACAGGAAGGTTCTGTGGAGGCTGCCACGCCAGGGGAAGCTCCTTCAGAGCTCCCAGAGTGCCTTACACACCTGAATGGAACAAATCAGGGAAAAAAAAAACCCAACAACAACAACAATAACAACAGTGTGGCATTTACAGAACTGAGGGGCTGGCAACGACTTCACCGAGACAGCCAAGGCTGGAGCTGGTGCCGAGCCCGGTGGGCACTTGGTATTTCCAGGCAGGAACACACACTGGCTATAAAAAGGAGGGCAAAGCTCTTCTCATTGCCTGTCTTAGTTATTCCCTGGGCTCTCCCTGGGATGCTCATGGAGGAACCTGGGGGTGCAGATTAAAGCAAAACATCTCCACGCTGGCCAGCAGCGAGTTAAGGTGGGTTTATAATTTAAACAACAAAATAAATCTCTTTCTGGGCTGGGGGACTAATGGATTGGAGGATGCTCTTTAACTTACTACAAGGTGTGTATTTGCACTGTGTCACAGCTCTCCACAGACCATTCCAGAAACACCCTGGAACCTGTCCTGAAAAGTGCTTTTCTTGGCCTGCTTTGTTTTGTGGGGTGGTTTTTTTGGTTGGTTGGTTGTTGTTCTTCTTCTTCTTCTTTTTTTTTTTTCTTTTTTAAGGTAAAATGTTTCCAAAAAGGTTAAAGAGCTTTGCATCTTGGAGACAGAGGAGGCAGGCTCTGGGATCTTACAGGACTTGGAATAAGATGGTGACAAGGTCTTGTCCCAAAAGGTCATTGCCGTGGGTGGCTGCCAGGCTGTGTCCTTCCACTCCATCCATCCACCTCCTGCTTCCATTCAGGACATGCTGGGAAGGAACAGAGAGACAGGAGTTATTTTTAGGCAGCGAATTGAGGTAAAAAATTTTTTTTATTATTCCCACCGTGTCAAAAAAATGGGGGTAAATGTGGGTGTCATCATGTACTGGGGACAAACATCATGCAGTCTGGGGCTTGAAGGGGCAGAGGGACCTGTTGGGTGCCCGGGAGTGGCATCAGGGAGAAGGATCCTGGGTCTAACCCAGGCTGGGCTTTCTTGTTCGTGGAGTGCAAACACCACAAGATCTGGCAGGGACACAAACAAAGGGGGAGGTCCAGCTCAAACCTGGTTTCTTGGTCCTCTCCTGGAGGCACAGGCCTGCTGGGAAGAGAACCAGCACAACAGTGAGTGAATCTCCACCACAAAACCAGTGCCCCCTCTCTTTGCCCTCAGCTCCTCTTATTTCTCAGAACAACTCAGGCAACTGTGACCAAAACTCCTTTTTCTTTGGGAAAACAGCACAAAATATTCCCTGTTCCCCCTCAGGAGAGGAAGACAGGACGAAAAGAGAGGCTGCATGGCTCTGAAGCAGAGCCAAAACCAGGCCAGATTCTCCTGGTGGAGGATTTTGGCACTGCCTTCCCAACCCCTCTAGAATTCTCTTTCCCATCTCAAGTTACAGCCCCGGCTGCGGTCCCTGTGCCCACAGGGAAACGTGTCCAGCAGCAGGATCTGACCCTCTGCATTGCACCAGCCTGCAAATGCTCCCCCTGAATGTCAGCAGAGCATTCCCAGGGGATCTGGCTCAGCTCTGGGATCACTCCCTGCACGGGGCAGGGTCAGGAATCTGCTCCTGGAGGGGAAAATCGGGAACACCACAGCAGTGGTGGCACACACGGAGCTGTCTGGGACAGGAGGGGCTTTATCAGCTCCTGAACACTTTGGGAATGTCCTGGTGGATCCAGCCGTCTCCTGGGGGTGTTCCCAATCCATGGGGCTGTGTTCCCACCCCCAGGCACGGTTTGAGCTGTGAGTGAGGGATAAATCAATCAGAGTCCTTACCTTTCCCTCTCAGCCATGTCTTGTTTCTCCTCTGCCCTGTAAACACAAATCACATTTGGGATCATCACCCTGAGGTGAGCAGTGGGAAGGAGGGGAGAATCCAGGGCCCTTCTAGGGTGATGGATGGACCTTGGAGAGGGGTCCAAGTCCCTGGGACCCCCAGCCCTGGTGGCCCTCGTGTTCCTGGAGGGAGGCAGCTCCAGGAGCTGGGCTGGACAACTCACTTAATCCTCCCCAGCTGGCATCTCCCACTCGGGCACCAGCACCAGGAGGTGTTTTAGCACCTATGCTGACCCAGTGGGTCTCTCCTCTCTCCTTCCCTGCCTCTTGCTTTCCCTGGAGTCATCCCTGGTCAGGGCCAGCCCTCCCAGCAGCACTTCTGACCCAAAGCACTGGACTTTGAGCAGGTCTAGACAATGAAACCAAACCAACTGCACACTGAAGTCCCTCTTCATGCCACTCCAGCAGGGTGAAGTGGCTTTTGAAACAAGCACAAGAGCTCACTTCAGGGTCAGTTTGCTGCCCAAATGGGGATAATGTGCCTGTTTTACACAAAGAGTGGTGTCTGATGACCTTTGGGAGCACAGACAGAGCGTGAGGAGGATGTGTGGGGTTCAGAGGTTCTGTGGATAAACAGCCTTTTAATCTATGGATAAATAACAAGCTTTTAATCAAGTTTCTCCCTCCTCCAGCTCTTATTTAGTTATAGAAAATCAGTGCAGGATCTGGGGGTGGGAGGAACGGGGAATTTACTGGTTATAACACAAACAGTGATGGGAGAAAGCAACAACATCCCAAGGAAATGAACCCCCCCCCAAAAAAAAAAAATTAATTTTACCTTTCTTTTCTGGCCTTGATCCTCTCTTCTTCGAATCTGCAAGAAAGAGGGAACATCCTTTAAACAGAGATTGTTCACTCTCAGTAAAATTCTGTGTTTGCTCCGAAGGTGACGGGAGCTCTGTGCTGGCACAGGGTGAGGCTCTTCCTCGGCCCTGGCACGAGTTAGACGAGGTTTGCCCCGGGCTCTGCGCTGCCAGCCCGTGGATTTGGACTCAGCACAAGGTGGGATGTCTGTCCTGCACCTCCCCAGGGCCCCCCCCAGCACTCACTGTAGGACGCAGTCTGGGATCTGCACGTGCTCCATGGGGATGAGCTGCTCCAGCTCCTCCAGGGTGTGCACGTACTGGATCTTATTGATGAACTTCACACTGGCAGGGAGAGAGAGAAACAGTGCACCAGGAGGCCTTGGATTGATCCATAGGAAGCCAAGAGCTTTCCTGATGGAAACTCCTCATCTCTGTGCCCACCTCCCCGTGACGCTGCTGGGGGACTGAAAGCTGGGGTGAGACACCACGTTACTGCTCCTCCCAATATCTGCAGGAGGCAAAAAGGACCACCATTCCCACACTTCCCAGTAAATCATCACGCCCTACCCACTGGGACAAAGCCTGCTCTGGATCCAGACCACCCCAAGGTCTCCTAAAACCACCTCAGGAGTCGTCCCTGGACGTATCAGAGAGAAGAAGGACAAGGGACAAACAGCCTCACCTTGGTTGCTCCTGGCCTAAAGATGAGCTTAAAATCTGATTTGTGAGATTAAACCCAGGGGAACATCACGAAGCTGTGTCAGGGGGGATTTAGGTTGGATCTCAGGGAAGGGTGGTTGGCACTGAACAGGCTCCCCAGGGCAGTGGGAACAGCACCAAGGCTGCCAGAGCTCCGGGAGTGGGATTGTTGGGGTGTCTGTGCAGGGCCAGGAGCTGGACTGATGATCCTTGTGGGACCCTCCCAGCTCAGGATATCCCAGAATTCCGTGATTCCAAACCCAGCCAAGCCTGGGAACGTCCTGCTCACCTGATGAAGGGTCTGGATATCGCCAGCACCGTCCGGATGAACCACGACGGGTGCACAATGATCAGGGCTTTGAGGTTTTTACGGAGCCTGGGGAAGAGCCAAGGCACAGGAGTCAAATCCAAAGGGCATTTCCTAAACTCTCCATGCCCTTTAGGAAGCCCAGCCCTGCCCAGAGGCTGCAGGACACTGCTCTGCTCTGGGGCTGTGCCAACCTGAGCTCTGCCAGGGTGCTGGTGAGGAAGGAGGGGGCAGAGGCCATGAGGAGAGCCTGGAGTTAAATCAGAAATCTGGGATAGAGGAAGGAATTACAGACTCTGGGGAGTGGGAAGGGAGGAGGGTTGGCTGGGAGTGCTGTGAGGAAGCAGAGGAAGAGATGTGGGGGTGGGGAGGCCCTGGCACAGGTTGCCCAGAGAAGCTGTGGCTGCCCCATCCCTGGGAGTGTCCAGGGTTAGTGGGAGGTGTCCCTGCCCACGGAGGGGGTGGCACCAGATGAACTTTATGATCCTTCCAACCCAAACCACTCCAGGATTCCATGTGGGGAGAGGCCTTGGGAAGAAGGAAGAGGCCACACCAGCAGGGTTCTGACCTTCTGTCGATCATCTGGTAGCATTTCTTCAGCCAGCCCAGGCCTGGCATCCTCCGCCGGGGCGTCGCTCCGTTCAGGTACACGATCATGTAATCCTCGGCCACCAGCAGCTCCAGGCTGCTGATCACGTATCTGGTGGGTGAGCAGAAGGGACAAGAGACTGAGAAAACACCTCGGGGCTTTCCTCAGGTACCTGTGTTTCACCCTGAAAGCGCCTCCAAGGCTCCTTCTTTGCGGGCCTCGGAACAGGTTTGGGTTCTCCTGGCACCTCTGCGGGGTGCCCGGGGATGTGTTAGTGCAGTTCAGGCACTCATGGACACCCCAGCTCTGCTCTCTCCCAGCTGCTGAGCATCCCACACACGCTCCAGCCTGGATGGGAGTCCATCCCTGGCATCATTAACCCGGAATGTTTGAATGCTTTGACTCATTGGACTCAGAGCCGGGGCCAGCGACGCTCACCCCAGTCTGCAGCTGCACCCTGGGCATGTCTGGCCTGGATTCAGACTATTCCCAGCTGATGTTCCTGATGCAGTGAGTACAGGGAAACTGTGGAGATGCTTCCCTCACCCTCCTCTCCCTCCCAGCCACTCACAGGAAGAGGTTTTCCATGATGTAGTGGTAATCAGCCAGGTTGCTGTCGGGGAGGTAACAGGCAGCAAAGACAATGATGGCATTGAGACCTTCTCCGTAGTACCCTGGGAAAGAAAAACACGGGATGTTTTCCAGAGAAAGTTGTAAGAGCTGAGGAGAAACAGCAGCAAAGTTGTGTTGTCAGATTTGAGCCTGTGGGGGGGAAGGTTTGTGTCTCTGTCTCACTCCAGGAGAGCTTTGTCCCTCTTTGGACCTCCTTCCCGAGGAGGTTTCCTCCTGGTTTGGGCTGTGACCCGTGTGTTTGGGGTTCAGGGAAGGAATTTGGGGGTGTCAGAGCTGGGTTGCTCCTTGGCTTTGCTTGGATTTTGGAAAAAGCACTGACTGTGGATGTGTCAACCTTTGCTGTCCCTCTGGAGCAGCTCAAGCACCGAGCTGGAGGAGTTCAAACCCCCCAGGCCCTTCATCAGTGCCCACACCAGGCCTGAGGGTTGGGAACAGTCCCTGTATCTGTTAATTCAAACACCATTGCAGTGATTACATTTTCAGACCCCTTTTTAGTGCAGTTTGGGTGCTTTTTGCTCCTTGCCCTGTAACTTCACAAAACAAACAGCAAACAGGAACAAACCAGTCCTGGAATCCTCGACAGAGACCTCACCTCCATGTGTCACCACTCTCATGTAGGGTTTGATCATCTGGAGGTCGATCCTGTGCTCCTGCTCCCCGATGATGACGGTCCTCCAGAGCCGCCCGTTGGTGGCACTGCCATCCTCCGTGCCCCCGTCCCCAAACAGGTCTGCACTGTCCCCAGGCATGTTCTTGGCCGTGGCTACGGGGGTGTCATCTGGAAAAGGGACAGATGTGCCTTTAATCTAATGCAGGAAGAGGCTTTGGAGAGAAGAACCCCAGGGATGCTCGGATCGTGTCCCGCCTGCAGCTTCGATCTGTGCGAGTTTATGGTGCTAAACAATCCTGCTTTATTGCCAAAATGTTATACAAATAAGCTTAAAACCTCCCTTTGCTTATCAGTCCTCAGCTGCTGCTGGTGAACTGTGTCAGAAGTCATTACAATGAGGCTAAAAAAACACCCCAACCCCTGCAAAACTCCCACAGAACCAGCCCTTTTACCTTCCCATTCCAGTTCGTTCCCATTCCCCAGGAATTCCAGGGAATCTGTCTCGTCAGGTGTTTCGATATCATCCACATTAATATCCAGGTCATCTGGAGTGTCCAGGAAGTCATCAGAGAGGATGGAGCCTTCACTCTGATCCAGGGAAATGTTGATTTCGGGTGCAACGAGTGTCTTCCTCTTCCGATGGGCCCCGTTAAAGTTTAAAGTATTGGGGGGAGCTGGAGTTGAAAGGAAAACAACTGACAGGTTATCCTGCTCCTGTGTCCTTCCTGCTGCCTCGTGGACATCCCAGTTTACAGGCTGGGTGGTGGATGAGGGACTGGGAGCCCGTGGGAGCAGCTGGATAGAAGTGCCCACACTTTGTGAGCTCCCGATTTCCTCCCCCAGCTTCTCGGGGAAGATGAGGGTATTCAAATCTCTGCTGGTTTCTTCCCCCCCACCTCTTCCCCTCCAGGAATTTTTTTGTGGCTAATCCAAGGGAAGTGGTTTTCTCCCTCCCTGCAAGCTGCCATTCCCCTTTGGGTTGTGGAGAGGGCAGGTGGTACTTACAGGACGTGTTCTCGTCTTCCGTAGGGCTTCCCAGTGACTCCATCCCTGTCTCTTCTGGGAGAGGTCTGCAGGAGATGGAGGGAAAACACAGGAGAGAGCAGGTGATGTTTAGGAAAAAGTCAGAGACAGAGGAGAGAATGGGGACACCAGAAAAAGGCACACAACCCCACTTGTGCTCTGCCCTTTCCCTTTTCCCAGTAAACTCAGACTGGAGGGATTCCCTCAGGGAATTTGCCCAGCAGCTGTGCTTTCCTCCTGGAGCGCTGTGCAAACCCCAGTAACCTCCAAACTACCCCTGTATTTCCACCCCCATCCAGCCAAGAGGCTGGAAAATCCAGCCATGGACATGGGAGCAAACCCTGACCCCAGCAGAGCCTGCTAAACATCCTCATCCTCCATATTATCCCTATTTTTAATCTGCAGGAATTCTGAGGATCCCAGCCCAGCAAAACCTTCTCCAAAGGCCTTCCACAACCCCCTCTGCTGGGAAGCAGCTGCTCCTTGGAGGTGGCTTTGCTTGGAGGCAGCTGATGCTCAAGGCAAGGACCAAACCCTGAGGGTGACCCCAAAATTGTCACCTCCACCCTCACCTCAGCCCCCATTTGGTGCTTCCCAACCCCTGGCTGAGGTTGGGCAAAGGCATCCATGGATGTAAAGGTCGATTTTCCTGGACAGATGCACTTCCCAGATGCTTTTCTCCTTAATTTGAGCTGGGATTCATGCCTGTCCCTGGCATGAGCTGGGTTTGACACTCCTGGACCAAACCCCACCAACAATAAATTCACGTTGTCAAATCTCATTTCTGGAAGCTCCCCCTCTTCAGGGGAAGGGCTCATGCCTCCAGCTGTAAAATCCTGGTGCTGGGACAGCCCTGGGATGGAACAGGGGGAGAATCCAGGAGTTTTAAGGATGAGGATGGGCCTGTGAGGAGGCTGGTCCTGCACACACAGAGGGAGAGGATGGAGACAGGACACGGCCCAGCTCTGCCCTGTAAACACTCCTCTTGCTGCTGCCACGGCACCAGAGCCACCAGCCAAATTAAACCCTATAAATATGTAGATTAAGGGCTAATCCTCTGCTCCCTGGTTATTGCATATTTATGAGAGCTGAGGAGCTGATCCCGGGCACGTGCTCCTTGTGCAGCGCCCGAATCCCGGCGGCTGCCACGATATTCCCGAGCGCTCAGGGAGACCCCTCGGCCCCCTCCGGCTCCTCCTCCCCCCTTCTCCTTTTGTCACCACCGAGGCCTGGCTGGTTGTTTATCCGCTGGGAGCCGGCGCCTGGCACGATTTGGTGACACAGCATCCCAGTGGGAAGCGGAGGGAAAGGAGTGGGGGCAGCTCTTGCCGAGGACGTGCTGCTCCCTCATCCCGGCATTCATCCCGTCAGGACAGCGATTCCAAAGCCAGAGGGGGGAAGAAAAAAACCTTCCTTACCTTCCCAAAGGCTGCTCCGATCGCTACCTCCCCGTGCCAATCCTCCTTCCCGAAAGCGCTCAGCCCCGGATCCCGAGATCTCCGGAGCGCAGCGGTTTTATCCTAAGGGTTGGGTGCCACCATTTTGCTCCCTGCCGGTCCCTGCTTCCCTCTCCCAGCCCTTTCTCCACGGGCACGAGTGGGTCCCCGCTCCGTGCCGGAGGGAACGCGCCGGGATCGGCGGGATGCGGGATGCAGTGAGCATGCTCCCCATCCCAGCCTACGGCATCATCGTCCCCGCGCTCCAGCCGACACACAACGTCTGGAATAAACCTTCCCGGAGCAGCAGGAGGGAGGATCCTTCTCCTCCCCGCTCCCTCAGGGCCGCCACATCCCCCACCTGCCGCGCAGGAGCTGCTCCTGCAGGCTCAGCTTTCCGGGCAGGAGGAGGGATGGGAATGTCGCCTCGTGTCCTCGGTGAGCGGCCTGAATCCCGTTTTTTCCCAGCCCAGATCCTTGTCTAGGATGTGGCTTTCCTTTTTTTTTTTTCCCGTGGCTAGATTGGCTAATCCCAGGCAGGCAAAAATAGCTCTGCAGCAAATCAGCTGCTGGAGAGCTGCTGTCCCACATGCAGCAGCTTCTGCCCTATTATTTCGCCGCTTCCAGGGGGGGAAGAGCGGCTGGAAAATGGTAATTTATTTATTTTTATTCCAGCTGGAACCCAGCTGGCCCTTCCCTCATTTGCCAAGGGGCTGTTCAGGCTCTGTCTCACTTGCATCATTCCCGATTTAATCCCAGTGCAGCAGCCTGGGGAGCGTGTTCCCAGGGCTCCAGCCTTGGCCCTGTCCCTGACCTGCTGCCCAGACCCCTTTGCCTCTTCCCAGGACTCATACCTGATGACACCTGTGTTTGGTGCTGAGGGCTCTGCAGGAGAAATGCCTCTGGCAGGCCTGGCTGGCTGTGGGAAGTTTGTTGCTGGCATGGGAAGGGCGGGACAGAGCTCTGAGGGGATGGCTGGGTTGGTGCCGGCGTGTCCAGGAGCAACACCAGCTTTATCCCAGATTTCCTAGGAAGCTTTGGGTCAATGTTTTCCTTTCTGTGCCTCACTTTCTATACTTTTCTGAGCAACCTGGGCTAGTGGAAGTTGTCCCTGGCCCACAGCAGGGAGTGGAATGAGATGAGCTTTACCGCCCCTTCCAACCCAAACCATTCCATAATTCCTACCTAAACCTCCATTTCCTTTCTATACCTCTCTCTCTCTCCACTCCATTAAAACCCTGGCAGCACAGCACTCCAGGGGAGCCCGAGGCTGGCAAAGATCCATCAGCCCAAAGCTCTGCTCTCCGAGGGAAATCAAACCCATCCTGCAAAGCCAAGGGCTTGGCTGAGCCCACCCTGGGGGCCAGCGGAAGGACAAGCCGTGTCCTGTGGGCTGGAAGACAGAGGGGCTCAGAAGGAGGATGCAGCTGGAGCTGGGATGAACAGAGCCAGGCTCATCCAAGTGCTGGGATGAACAGAGCCAGGCTCATCCAAGTGCTGGGATGAACAGAGCCAGGCTCATCCAAGTGCTGGGAAGAACAGGAGCCCCTTTCTTGGTGGGCGGGGGCTGGACGTGCCCGCGGCACACACGGCACAGTGTCTGGGAATACTGGGGCTCTGTGGGGCTGCCGGGGGGTTTGGATGCAGCTGGAGCAGGGTGGGACAGACCTGGAAGCCCCTCGGGGCTGCAGGAAGGGCTGGGAATGGCTCTGTGTGCCCAGAGGGATTTAGAGCTGCATCCCGGGATAGCTGGGGTTGGAAGGGACCTCTGGAGATCACCCAGTCCAGCATCCCTCCCCAGGCAGGGTCACCGAGGCAGGTGACATTCCAGGTGGGTTTGGAATATCTCCACTCCCTCCCTGTGCAGACTCCCCTGCCCCTGGATTTGGGGGGACAAGGCTGGGAATGGGGGCAGGTGCTCCCTCAGGGAGTTCGGAGCACACCAAGCTCACAGGGAGGTTTCCTGGCACCTCTGCACAGGCAGTGCAGGGGCTGTGAGGGTGGAAGGTGCCACTCTGGCACCTCCTGTCACCCACACATCATTTCCCACAAGGCTGGCACCCATTCGGATCCCCTGAATCCCAGTGACTCCGCTTTCCATGGCAAATTCCTGGCAAAGCAGCATTTCCCTGTCTGGGGAGACACTGCCTGATTCAGAGGCTAGGAAGGAGTCCATCCCTCCATCCCTCCATCCCTCCATCCATCCATCCATCCCTCCATCCATCCATCCATCCATCCATCCATCCATCCCTACATGATTAACCTCCCTTTTCTCCACACCCCTCCTTGCCAAGGTTCCCAAAAGCATCCCAAAACTCTTCCAAGCACTGAAGAGCAGCTCCCAATATTCCATTCTCTGCCCAAATCCCCCCACTGGACTTCCCACTCCTGCTGCCTCTGGAGCCCAGGGAAGGACTCACCACCCTCCATACCCTGAGGGTTTTTCTCACAGGAAGAAATAAAACTCTCCCTGTTTTTTTTTTTTTTTTTTGGTTTCTCCCAAGGGAACCAACCTGGGGAAATCCTCGTCCTGCCATTCTTCCTTCACATCCACGTTCTCCATCCGCAGCGTGGCCTCCGTGGTTCCCATGGTGCTCAGGGAAGGGCTGGAGGCAGCAGATCCCTCAGGGAAGGGCTCAGGCTGGAATGGGAAGGCACAGAGGTTGGCATGGAGCGTCCTGACCCAGGAGCAGGTACTCTGGTACCACACTCCCTGGAGGAGCTGCTTGTTTGGGGGAAAAAGGAGCAAAACGTGGGATGTGGTGGCTAAAATGCACATTTTGGACCAGGAAGGGGAGGGGAGGTTGGCCCTGGGTCAAAGCAATGGGTGTATCTTTGCTCTGTTTGGATCCCAGCTGGTGTCCCTGTGGATCAGCACTGATATCCACACCTTTTTACCTTGTGGCTTCCCTTTCAATCCCAATCTCAGTATAAACCCCTCTGAGGGTGTTCATATTCCCTGCTGAGGGAAATGTGGTTGAGAGGGGACAGCAGAGTGGGTTCCCCCCAGGCTGCTCTCAGCCTGCTTTGGAAGCAGATTCCATGTTGCTGGTGTGGATGGAAGTTACTGCTCTGGCTCTGCAGGGAAATTCCTGACACTGCTGCCCGCTCTGTGCTCCATCCCTGCGTGTCCCTGTCCCAAAGAGACGTGGAGGAGGAGGAGGAAGCTTCACAGGGATGCTGAGTGTCCTTCCCCACCCCTGAGGGATCCCCATCACTGCCTGGCTCCCAGATAAACCAACCCAGACTCCAAAAAACCGGAGCAGCTCAACCAGAGGCAGGGTGAGGGTGTGTTCCCGGTCTGGGACTTCTCCTGCACTGGCAGGAATAAGCTGAGCTCCAGGAATCCTGGTTTTCACCCACACTGACACCCCAGGGGCACGAGGGGCCCTTAAACCACATATGCATATTTTTTTTATTGCCTTCACCAGGAGGTTTCTGCTCCCAGACAGCAAAAATCAGATGTTTGTACCTAATTCCTCGGGCTTGCACCTGCAGCTCCCAAAAAAAAGTCTGGCTTGGGACTCAGGACCAGTCCCAGCAGGACCAGCACTGGTTGTGGGGAGCAGACACACCATTCCCAGCTGGATCCTGCCCAGAGGGAACAAGGTCAGGCCTGATCTCCTACAGAACATCCTCAGGTGGAATCAGCTCCTGGGCTGGGCACGAGCATCATCCCACCCACTGCAGGACAGTTGGGAATGTTCCTCCTGGCTCAGCCTTTGAATTGTTCCAGGCACTGGCTGGATAGGAACACATTCCTGTTGGGATAAGGGATGCAGGGTGATTCCCTGGGTGTTGATGGGGCTGCTCTGTCCGTGCCCCAGTGCAGGGAGATCATCACCCAGCACAGTCTGCCCATCGCTCTGAGGCTCTTCCAGAGCTTTTCCTGCTTCCCTTGGAGCCTGGTGATGATGTGGGGGAGAGAAATCTCTGTGAATTTGCTTTAAAGGAACGAGGCCCCAGCAAATCCAGCATCCCTCTGTATTCCAGGCACTGGAATCAGCAAAAAGAGCCTGGCTGTCAGCATTGCAGGGCTCGGCATCTCCCAGAATCCATCCTGGATTCTGCCCCCCAGCCCACACCCGGCTCAGGGGATGCCTGGCACGGTCCCACCTCTTCCCCGGGTTTTTATTTCCCTGAAATGCAGACCAAATAGACCCTTCGGAGCTCAGGGAAAGAGATCCCCACCTTCCCCCTCCCTCCCCGTCAGCTGCTTTCTGCCAACCCTGGAGGCATCATGGAGGGAGGAAGGAAAGCGAAGGTGGCGATGCAAAGCCCGGCAAGGAGGAGCAGGAGGATTTTCCCGGTGTCCCAGCTCTGCCGTACTCACCGCTGCCGGTGCTCAGCGACGAACAAAAGCCGATCCCGCCCGGATCCCGCCTCGGCATTCCTCCCGATGGGAGACCGCTCAGCAGGTCCAGCCCCTGGAGCCGGATGCAGATGGAATGTGGGGATGCATCCAGGTCGGCTTTTCGCACGGCATCCGTCGCTTTGCGATTCGGTTGGGAAAAGAGGGAGGGATGGATGGATGGATGGATGGATGGATGGATGGATGGATGGAGGGCAGTTATTTGTGTTCTTCCATGGCTGCTGCTTCCTCCGCCGCCTCCCTCCCTGCCCTCCCCTCCCCTCCAAGGTATTTTATTCCGATTTTCCGCCCGCAGCTGGCTAAGCCTCGGCTGCCCTAAGGCAGCTAATTCCCAGCTTTTGTGTGTGTGAGGATGGCGCTGGGGACAGGGAGGGGGGTCTGGAGGAGAAGGGGGTGGGGACACGGAGCCGAAAGGACCCCCCTGCCGGTGCCAGCGCTCCTCCAATGGGCTGCGAGGCACCAAATCTGTCCCCGCACTCTTCCTCCGGATGGATCCGGATGGATGTGGATGCCAGGGGGCTGAGCACACCCTCTCCCTGCAGCCTTCAGTGGGAGACAGGGATGCCCGTCATCCTGCTGCTGGGGATGGGAGGTGGGAGGGATTTTAGTGCAGCGCCTCATTCCCCGAGGAAGTAAAAGGTGGGATGCGGGATCGAACTGCGGGTCCAGCCTGCAGGGCTGATTTGTCCCCAAACCTCAGGCAGCGGGCCGGGTTCTGGACAGACAGACATGACAGAAGGTCCTGCTCGTGCCGGGAGGGTGAATCCCTGATCCCGGGATGTCCATCCAGTCCCCGAGCCCTGCCGGTTCCTTTGCAAATCGAAAGGTGGCTGAAGACACCGTGATTTTTTTTATCCCCTGCTGCATTCCCGACAGGAAGGGGGAGCCAGGTGGGATTCGGGCTCTAGGACAGGACAAGAGGGAACAGCCTCAGGATGCACCAGGAGAGGTTCAGGTTGGATATCAGGGAAGATTTTTTTCACTGCAAGGGTTTCCTTCGGTAATGCACACCAGGAGAACATCCCAGGGACACCAACTGGGAGAGCTGGGGGGGTTCACCTGGAGAAGGGAAGGCTCCAGGGAGACCTCAGAGCCCCTTCCAGGGCCTAAAGGGGCTCCAGGAGAGCTGGAGAGGGACTTGAGACAAGGGATGGAGGGACAGGACACAGGGAATGGCTTCCCACTGCCAGAGGGCAGGGTTGGATGGGATATTGGGAAGGAATTGAGGGTGGGGAGGCCCTGGCACAGATTGCCCAGAGAAGCTGTGGCTGCTCCATCCCTGGAAGTGCCCAAGGCCAGGCTGGAGCAACCTGGGCTGGTGGAAGGTGTCCCAGTGGGACTGGATGAGCTTTAAGGTCCCTTCCCACCCAAACCACCCTGGGATTCTCTGTTAGAATCTGACAGAAGATCCATGGGGACAGTAAATACCTGGAAGTCTGCACCACTTGATGGCTCCAAAGTTATTTGTCCAAGTCTTCAGGGTCATTTCTGCTGAATATTTCGCCTTTTACCTTCATTTTTCCACGAAAAACGTTCTTTTCTTGTCTCCCAGAGCAGCCCAAGGCTGACAGCTCATGGCAGTGCACGTATGGAATGTGAATGCCATCTACTGGCTGCTGTCCCGGGCCTCGGAGCAGGTGTTCCCTGTCCAAACTCCATCCATCTGATCCCGGAGGAATTTCATTGAGCACGCAGTGAGAGAGCCCAGCTCTGCTTGCCAGGGAAAACGGCTTTGTTGGGATTCTGTTTTCCTTTGGGATGCACACAGCGAGCCCTGCGTCCGGCTGACTTCCCAGCACTGGGAATTCCTCTGGGAATTCTGTGCTGAGCCCAACTCCTGCCCCTCTGGAGGAGGCAATACCCAGGATCAGGTCCTTCCTGGTGCTGGGGGGGTTTCCCAAGCAGTTTTCTCACTCCCTCTCCCACTCCACGTGCTCCCTCAGCTGGAATAACACCTTTCCTCTTACCTGACACTGTGTTTTTCCCACTCAATGAGCCAAAAACTCCCAGGAGGGGGAGGATGGGACCCTTTTGGAAAGCCATGTGAGCATCCTGCTTTTCTTTCCTTGGATTTGGGGCTCGTTTTTAGGCTCTGGGACATTCCACAACCCCGCCAAAATTATATTCCTACCTGTGTAAACCCGGGATGGGAATCGCTGGCTTGTCCAGCGGTGCCGGTGGGTTTGTCATTCCAGCGAATCCAGCGAATCCAGCTGTTCCTCGCGGCAGCTCCAGCTTGGAGAGCTGTGGGGCCGTGACGGGCGATGCGCGGCGCGGGCTCCAGAGGGCCCCGCGCACCAGGAGATGGAGGGAGGAGGGAGATTCCCTGCGGATTTCTCCAAGGGCAAAGCAGAAACGGTAAATTCAACCCCTCCAGCCTTAAAGACAGGCTGAGATGTTCTGGTTTTTTGGTTGATTTTTTTTTCCAAAAGCAGGTGTTACAGGATCAAGGAATGGGAGGGATCTTAAAGCAACCCTTAAATAAAGAATAAAAATAAAAATAAAAATAAAAATAAAAATAAAATAAAAATAAAACATACAATTTCCCTTCTGTTTAAAGGGAATTTCCCTATCTGAGCTGGTGCCCTTCCCTCTTAACCACTTCCTGGGCACCACTGGGAAGAGTCTGGCTCTGATCACTGAAAGCTGAAATTAAGATGAAACCATTTGTTTGTAGGGAAAATAAAAGTTATTTTGGTGCCTTTGAAATTATTTACAACTTGAACAAAAAAAAAAGCCAAACAAAAAAAAACCCAAACCAAAAATAATAATTAAAAAAAGGGAGTATTTTTGGGCTGAAAAGCTGCAGGCTTTGTTTGGAGATATGCTTGAAATTAAATTTTATTACACTGTGGTGTTCCCCAGTTGAGATCTGCCAGCCTTTAATTAGAAAAAGGCAGGGGAACCACAAGTGCTGTCAAAGATGAATTTGCAAACACAGACACGTTTTATTTTGGGGAGAACAAGATGTTTTCATTGTCTCCACTTAAAGGAAAAAAAAACAACCTGGTTTGCTGAGGCAAATGGAGAGGTTGCAGTCTGGGCTGACCTGAAGAGAGAAAAAAAAATCCTTCCTCTTCCTGATTTTTTAATTTGATTTCTAGAGTAGTTTGCTCAGTCCAGGAAGGAAGGACTCAAGGAATTCACCTCAAGGAATCCCTGGAAGTGTCCAAGTGTTGGACGGGGCTTGGAGCAGCCTGGGCAAGTGGAAGGTGTCCCTGCCTGGAGACACAGGGGTGGGACTGGATGGGCTTTAAGGGCCCTTCCAACCCAAACCACCCTGGGATGTGGTAAATCTTTGAAATGTGGGATTGGGTTGGACTCATTCCTGCTGAAGAACAAGACCTGTGGATCCAGATTTCCCTCTGCTCGGGCTCAGGGAGGGTTGGGATGTGGATTGGGCAGCTCAGGCTCAACAAGGGCATGGCCACAACCACTGACCCAGTGCCTGGGCAATCCTCGATGCCCTTGGGGACAGAGACACTCCCTAGTCCTGTAAAAACCCTGGAAATGTTGGGCTGGGCTTGGTGAGACAAGTCTGTGCTGGGGATGGATCCTGGGACGTGGAGACCTTGGCTGAGAGTTTGGGATCAACCCCCTGACAGGCCAAGGGCTCGTGGATCCCTCCCAACCACCTCCCCCTGTACCAGGTGAAGAAGTTTTGGGATAGAAAATTGATATTAGAGAGAGAGAGAAAGCAGCAGGTGGGGATGATTTCACCCCCCCATTTCAGGTTTGCAGCCGTAGAGTGAGCTTTGGAAAAGCATCTGGGACAGATTATGGCCCTGACCTGGGGCCGGTGTTTATGCCAAAAAAAAAAGGACTCGTGATAAGAGGGCAGCGGGGCCTGACCTGCTGCAGGGCTTGTTTACATCTCCTCAAGAGCCAAACTTCCCCCCACACCCTCCCCCCCTGGAGAGCAGCAGGGAATGAATCCTCCCTCCCTGATCACCCCTTTGACTTCCCCGGGCACCAAAAACACACGGAGAGAGGTAAACAGAGCTGTGCAAGGAGGGTTTTTTTTTTTTGGGAGGGGTGTTTTTGCCCACCCAGGGGGCTGGGGGGGTGGGTTGTTTGGGGTGGGGGTGGGTTTTTTAGGGTGGAGGTGGCCGTGGTGAAAAGCATCGGTCTTTGGCTGCACCCACACCTGCCTGCCTGGCTGGGGCTGTCCGTGCAGGAGGGCAGATTTTGGGAGGTTCCTGGCCGTGTTTTTTAGTTTCTCTGGGGTGTGTTCAGCTCTCTGTTCCGTTCCCAGGGGGGTGAGGGATGGAGGGTGTGATCCCAGCTGATCCATCGCTGATTCACGTCCCCAGGTGCCACATCCACACATTTAGTAAGCACTTCCAGGGTTGTCACTTCCCCACTGCCCTGGGCAGCCTGGGCCAGGGCTGGGCAGCCCTTTCAGGGAAGAAATTTTCCCCACATCCAATCCAATCCAATCCAATCCAATCAGGGAATTCTCCCTAACGACCAACCTACTTGAACAATCCAAACTTCCTGCCTGAAACCAGGCACAAAGTTGGATGCTCTGCCTTCAGGAGATGCTTCAACTCTTGGATTGAGGCAGAGCCCGGACAGAAGGTGGGTTTGCTCTGGTGTTTTATTATCTAGTCCTAAACATTTACTCCTGCTGCTCTGCCCAGGGCAGAGCCCCAGCTCCGTGGTGACAGCAGAGTGATAAATCCCGCTTCCAGTTCATGCCCCTGCTCCGGGAAGGACATTCCTTGCTTTGGGATTCCCAAGCTGTTGACAGGTCCAGCCTGACCCCCTCCCCTCCTCCCGCACTCTGTGACCTTGACATCGATGTGTGAAGGGTTAATGAGGGCTCTGCTCTGCCTCCCTGCTCCCATCTGCTGATTAATTCCAGCCAGGTGTCCACGGGCCCAGGTCTTAAAACAACAAGGGCTGGAGTGTCTGGGAACACTTAGCCAGCCTTCACTCGGCAATTCCAAGTATGGGTAAATATTTGCACCTCCGTGGCTCGAAGACACCTTGGAGATGTGGAGGCAATTACTGGAGGAGCTCTTTACAAGGGGGAAAAACAGGGATTTCCTGGGGAGCAGGGCTGGTTGGGCAGCAGGGAGGACTCGTGGGCTCCTCTTGCAGCTCCTCCTGGGTGGTCCTGGGTGGGGGGTCACAGGGTTTTGGGGGCTGCAGGGTGGGTGTCATCCCACAGCAGCTCTCAGGGAATCCAGATGTGCTCCCACTGGTGTTTGGCTCCACGGTTTGGGGGCCTTGGTTGATTTACATGGGACAGTGAGGAGGAGAAATGCAGAATCCAGAGATTCCAGATCCAAAACCTCCTTTTTTTTTGGGGATACCCCAAGGAAAGCCCTGGTAGGACCCAGCAATCCCAGAAAATCTGTTTAATTCTGTTCCTATTTGTAATTTATAGTCTATATTTGTAATTTAGTAGTTGTCATGTTTTCCTCTTCCCCTAAAATAAACCAAAGGTTCCCAAGCTCTGACTTTCACCCCTGTGACTGAATTTCTGACTTCCAGCAGCGAGGATGACAGAAAAAAACAGTGCCTGCCCAGGGCAATCCGACTTTTCCATGCCTCCTTCCTACCTGGAGACTCCAAGGAGGTCAGTTATCTGCTCTTCTTCATGTTTAATCATAAAATCAGGTTGGAAAAGACCTCTAAAATCATTCAAAGGTTCTGCTGATGCTCCTCTGAGCAATTTTAATTTTTTTAGTCTTTTTTTTTTCTGGGTTTGAGTCTGAAAATTATAGGGGATCTAAGTCACATCTCACTCCAGGGGGATGCTGGAGCACAACAAGCTAAAACCCACCCCAGAGGTTGGGATTGACTTGATCCAGAGATATCTGGGCTATAAAATCCTAATTATTTGGCTAAATAAAGAGCCTCACAAGAGAGCTGTTTCCCTCCAGAGCGGGATGGAGTTGCTCTGCCCCTCTGGGGAGTCTGTGGTGGATTAAAATTCCCTTAATAACTTCACAGGCGTTTCCACATTCAAGTGATCACAGTAATGCTCATAAAGCACAATCCAGGGTGAAGTATTCATGAATTATTTGCCTTCAAGTTGTGTGTGTGTGTGTGTGTAGAATAAAAAAAAAATAAAAAAAATTAAAAAAAAAGAAGAAGAAAAGACCTGGGCTGAATTAATGGCTCTGGGAGAACCATAAATTGAGAGGAATCATATTGCAGAGGGTTTATTTTGTGTGGGCAATAAAAAAAAGGAACGTTTATGGCTTTACGGGGCCCGAATTTCGGGCTGGATGTTTTTGAAGCGGAGGAGCTTTGAAACAACTCACAACTTTTCTCCTTTCATTTCAGGCTTTGCCTTGAAGAGAAACACCAGCCACAGTTGGTTTGAGGCACGAGGGGAAAGGGGGAAAGTGGGAGCAGAGGGAATTCGTGGCCTGGAGCGGGTGAGGAGGGAGAGCAGGAGGATGCTCCGGGGTCCCAAGGGAGGTGCTCAGGCACTGGGGTTTGGCACTAAAGAGAGGTGATCTCAAATCCCCCGTGGCCAGACGTGCTCCTGGATGCTGTTCCCACGCTGCAGGAAGGTTGGGAGGTTCGTCTTCCCTGATTTCCCAACCTGAGGTGATGATTTTACAGGGAGAGGGAAGGGACACCTGGGGCAGGCACCCAGCAGGGTTCATTCCAGGCTGTTGGATCAGAAGGAAGGTGGATCCTGCCCTTCAGCAGACTGGGAGGAAACAACCAGCACGTCCCTGGGAGGTGTTCACAAGGGATGGGGAATCATTTCCACCTCTGAGGGGGAGGATGTGACCCACGGGCAGCCCTTGGGGCCGGGTGTCAGACCTGCTCCTGCTGCACCTCCCCGCAGTCCCTGGAGCTGGGGAGGGACTGGAGCTGCCAAGAAAACCATCTGATTCAAGCAGCAGGAATGCAGACACCATCCCTCCTTGTTTTGGGGGTTTTTTTCTTGCTCCTTTGCTCCGTAGCAAGACCAGGCAGAGCGACCCGAAGCGAAGCCCCGGCTCGTAAATCCTCGTCCCTGCCAGGACCCCGAGGGTTTTCCTTCCCTCTGTCAAACCAAGCAATCAAATCCCCCTCTCCAACAGGTCTTTAATTGGGTGACTGAAGGCTCTGGCGTTCCCTCTGGGACATCTGCTTGCTGGGAGATGCTGGCTCCCATTCCCAGCCTGGAATCGCTCCCGGCTCTGGCTCCGTGGCTCCCACCTGGGAGCGATCAGGGAGGGTCGGGATGAGCTCTCTCCGTGGCACTGCTGGCTCGTGGGGGTGTTTCCACCCCTCCTCCTCCCTGCTGAAATGTCTCAGGTAGGGAGTGAGGAATGGCTGAGTGGCTGTGAGGTGGTGCTAAAAGCCGTTGGGAATTCCCGTGAAACCGCTGGAATAAATCACTGGGGAAGGCAGAGGCATGTTTGGCTCTTTGCTCTGAAATGCTGAGGTGCCTGGGCTACAGATTTAGCACAAAAAGGTTGGTGTTTCCTTCCTAGGGAATCACAGAACCTTTAAGGTTCATCCAAGATCATCAAGCCCAACCTGTGACCCAGATTATATCATGAAGCGCCACATCCCCCCGTTTTTGGAACACTTCCAGGGTTGGTGACTCCACCACTCGTCCTGTCCTGGCTCTCCCAGCCCATCCAGCCTCTTCCCTCTGCTCCTACAGAAGCCCCTGGGCTGGGACAGAGCCAGAATCCCACCAGAACGTTCCCTCAGGGTGGTGGAAGAGGCACGTGGTGTGTGGAGGGAGGGGCTGGGAGTTGGGCTCGATGATCCTCGTGGATCCCTTCCAACTTGGGAGATTCAATAATGGGGCTGCTCCTGCTCTTGTCCTGGTCTCCAGCAATATTTCTAGGAGCCTCCTTGCATCCCTTGGGTTCCATCCCAGCCAGGCTGATGATCATTAATTGTAGGGGATTTAGCTGTTCCCGACATCCTCAGAGATGTCTAATCCTGGTTTGGAGCTACCTGCATTCTTGACCTCTCCACATCCTCCTTTCCTCGGGAATTTTCCCCTTCAGAAAACTGAGCTGGGTTAAAAATTCATTTTAACGCCCCAAACCTTCCTGCTGGGGGGAAGGTGCTGCTGTGGGAGCCCGGGGGGATTGGGGGGCAGGTGGACTTTGGGGTTTTTTGGGTCTTGGGGGGTGTGAATCCTCAGTGGGTGCCTGTGAGGAGGTGTCTGTGGGTGTCAATGGATGCAGCTTTGGGATGGTTTTCCATGGCAAGGCCCTTCCCCACGGGCAGTGATGCATTTCCAATTAACAGGGGGCAAGTTGATTTTTCGTGGCTCTGCTGGGCGAAGTTCAGCTGGGAGGACTTTTTAACCTTGAACCAGACGTCTGCAGGTCTGGCTTAAATTACAGCTCCACGGGGCCGTCATCGGAGCTTGAAAGGAGCAGGTAATTGTAACATTTTTGAACAATTGCCCAGATGAAAATTTTTTGAAGGAAGAAACCTCTGTGAGTGTTCACGGACACAGAGAGGAAACCGGGAATGCTTTGATTGATGAGTGGGGGCCGGGGATGCCCGGGAAGGAGCAGGTCCTTGGCCAGCCTACACAGAGCGAGGGAGGCTTGAAGGACCTGCTGAAATGCTTTGTGGTCGGAGAATTGTGATCCTGATCCCTCTCTGATCATCAAACAGGGCCCAAATTCCTTCCTGATGACATGTTGAGGGAGCGTGTTAGTGGAGAAGCCAGCTGATGAACTCGGGGTGGAGGGGAGAGGGATATTGTTTTTTGGGGGAGGGATCCAGAGCCTCTGGTTGTTGGTGTGACTCCTGGAGGTTTCTGCAGCCCACAGAGCTCCTGGTGATGTTTTATTCTCACTGGAGACGTGGCCACTGAACCAGAGAATCCTGGAATGGTTTGGGTTGGAAGGGACCTTAAAGCTCATCCAGTTGCACCCCCTGCCACGGGCAGGGACACCTTCCACAGGATCAGGTGTCCAACCTGGCCTTGAAGGAATTTTTGAGGGGTAAAACAACAACTTGCCTGTCCATGGGGCTGGTGCCACATTTTACAGAATGACTGCATCCCCAACCTGGAAGAGAAACCCCCAAAGCACAGCCCTGTGGCCAGCACAGCGTGAAGACAGAGCTGTTTGGGGCTGCTCCCTCTGGGACATTTTCCAGGGAGGGGGGAGGAAAAAAAGTGGGAAAGGAGAGACACCCAAATCTTTACACCCCAGTAAGACCTGAGCCTCGAGGGCCTGAGCCTGCACAGCCCCTGCCCAGCAGTGGGGGGAGGGATCAGAAAATCCTGGAATGGTTTGGATTGGAAGGGTCCTTTAAGCTCATCTCATTCCACCCTCCTCCCCTGCCATGGGTCTGCTAGACCAGGCTCTCCTTGCTACTCTAATTTCTGCCTTAATCCCTTTCCAGACATCCAGGCTGGAATCAGAAGGGTTTGGGAGTTGTGCCAGCCCGTGTGAGGAGCTGCCCTGAATCAACTCGCCGGGCAGACGGGCTCGTGTGGGGCTCATAAAACACCCAGCACCTTCTTGGCACAGCCACAGTAAATAAGAGTGAGTATATATATATATATATATATATATAAAAGAAAAACATTGGCCTGGTCTCCTGGGAAAGGGGGAGCTCCTGGCTCAGCTCATTCCCTGCAGTGCTGCAGCAGCCCTGTGGAAAAGGGCTTAGAGCTGAATTGGGGCAGGGGGAAAAATCCTCAATATTTGGATTGATAAAGCAAGGGGGAAATGGTTCTGGGAGGAGGAGGGGACACTGGGAGATGACATGGATGTGTCACTGCCATGAGGGTGCTCCAAGCCCTGTCCTTGGGCACTTCCAGGGATGGGGCAACCTGTGCCAGAGCCTCTCCACCCTCCCAGGGAAGAATTCCTTCCCATTATCCCACTAATCCTGCCCTCTGGCAGTGGGAAGCCACTCCCCCTTGTCCTGGCACTCCAGGCCCGTGTCAGGCTGGGCTGGTGGCACAGAGCTCCATGATCCAGCCTGGGAAGATGCTCCTGGAGCAGGGAGGCTCCTGCCAGAGCTGCCTCTGCCTGGCAAACGTTTGCTGCCTCTCCGAGGGGGTGCTGGTGCATCCAGGATGTTTCCATAACTCAGGCACCGAAAATAAAGAGAAGACAAAAATAATTCCCAATAAAAACTCGCCTCCTAAAAGCAATAAATAACCCTGAGCAGATGCTGGCTGCTCTTAACCCAGTTATCTTATCAGCAGGCCTGGGAGGGAAAACACCAAGCCCATCGTGCTGGGAAGTGGAGCTTCAGCTTCTCCCAATTTTTTTTGGCCTCCCAAATCTGGCAGAGCTCTCCAGAAGCAGGACAGCACCACAGCACAGGTGAGCTCGCTGCCCAAGGGCACCTCTCCAGCCTCAGGGCTCTGCTGGCAGGGGAAGTTTTGCTCTGAAATAACCCAATTTTTGACTCCCTCTTCCACAGTGGCTGCCACAGTGGTGCCTTTTGAGCTCTGTGAAGTTGGGTTCGTGGGGAAAAGCTTCCTGCAGCTTGTTTTAATCAGGGAATCCCAGAATGGTTTGGGTTGGGAGGGACCTTAAATGCCTTCCCACACCTTCCACTAGCCCAGGTTGCTCCAACCTGGCCTTGGACACTTCCAGGGATGGGACTTCCTTGGCCAACCTGTGGCAGGGCCTCCCCACCCTCACAGCAAGAGGATTTTAGGGCTTTGCAGCCCGGTTGGGTTGGGACTCACAGGATGTTACGGCCTTTGGGGTGTCTCAGATCCAGCTGGACCCGAGGAGGAGGAACTTGTGGGTGGATGACTGAGCAGAATGGGCTGTGCTCCCCTCGCTCCCACTGCTCAGTCACCCCACTGGGAGACACTGGGGTGGGCTCCACCTTCCCCAGGATCCAGCGGCCCCTTCTGGGTCTCCATCTGGAGCTGATGGAAGGGGATCCGTGTTCGCAGTAAAAGTGTTTCTGGAGGGGTGCCCTCGCCAGAGTAAATTGTTGGCAGCCAGGGGCTGATCCTCTCTTCATAAACAAAAAGTGAAGGAGATAAAAGCAGCAGCAGCAGCAGCTTGAGCTGCCTCCACCTCCCCCCACCCCCCAGAGCGTCCCTGAACACCCACCCCACATCTGGAGCTCATCGGGGGCAGGACGGGGATGGGAAGCAGCTGAGCCTTCCTCAGGAGCGTGGTCCTTGGGGGGGCAGCCCAGGCAGGGCCCACTTTGGGCTGGAAGTTTGGCTCAGAGCCCTGGTGGCCCTGTGGAATGCCCGGGTGGGGTTGTTGGGGTGTCCTGTGCGGGGCCAGGAGTTGGGATTGTTGGTCCTGGTGGGTCCCTCCGGGCTCAGGATGCTCAGTCAGGGGTACAAGTGAGGTGGCCACCGGGTGTTTTTGGTGGCCAAAGCAGCTCCCTGTGCCCTCCTGGCCATTCCTCCCTCCCACCCCCAACAGTGGGAAAATTGTCCCCAATTTTGCCCCATCCCTGGCACAAACCCTGCTTTGGGCCTGGTGATCTTGGAGGTCTTTCTCAACCTTCTGATTCCACGATCAGGTGTCTCCCACAGGCTCTAGGAGGAGGGGAGCTGGAGATCTTGGAGCAGGCACCTTGAACTTTGGGAATTTGTTACCAGCAAGGCCAGTGTGAGCCCCTTTTTTGCAGATGGATTTCTTGATGCAGTGAGGTTTTAGAGAGCAAGGGAGGAAAAAACCCTGCCAGTGGCCACGCTGGAAAATGTTTGTATTTTCCATTTGCAAGAGGAACATTTCCCAGTTTGGGGGTTGGAAGTGAGTTCTGCTGAGAAACTTGAGGACAGCGTGGAACAATTAAAAAAAAAAAATAAACAGGAAAACAGCCCAATTTGCTACAGCAAATTAATTTATTTCAGGATGAAGCATCTTGACATAAATGAAGTGGGAGCCCCCCGGTTGGTTCCAAATGAGATCTCAGGAAGCTCCTTGCCTGTTCCATTTTCCCCTTGTAGACCCTCCCTTTTAGCTTTTCTTGGAGAAAAAAAAAATTAAATAATAGGTGTTGTGTTTACAAGGGGGGTCACTGCCCAAATCTGCTCTCTCCTGGTGCAGCTGGACCCTCCAGGGTCCCTCCCAGGGGCCAAAACTGAGCCACACTGGCTGTGAGGGGCCACAGGTGGCATCTGCTGTGGAGGAGATGGAAAGCTGCTGCTGGAGTTCCCCTCTGCCTCACCCACTCCTCACTCCCACCAGCCCTTCCTGGGTGCCTGGACTCACATTTGAGCCCCAAACCTCAAGGAAACAACTGTACTTTTGTCTCCTGCCCCTATCCTGAATGTTTCTCAGCCCCTGGCCATCATTTGAGGGTTGTTTTTTTGGGCAGAGACCGACAGCAGACAACTGACAAATCCCCCTTAATCCACCTGAGCTGATAAATCTCTTGGTAAATCCCTCCCCTACCACAGACCTCCTGGGCACCATCCATCAGCGTCTGCAGCCCCCTGGGTGCCTCCTGGGCCCTTTCTGTGCAGGGAAAACCTCTCATTTATAAAACTTGGGGACCTCCCACAGCTTCCCCGTGACCCCAGGCAGGGGGTCAGCGAGCTGAGTAAACTGGTTGGGAGGGCAGGTACTCCTATTTACGTGGAAAGCCATTAGCAGGGAGGATCTTATCTGCTCCTGCTCAGGAGGTGGAGGCTTGGGGTGATGGAAGGGCCGTGGGTAGGGTTGGAGGTGCCTCTGGAACGCCCTGGTTTTGCCCTCCACGCTCCTGGGTGGGTGTTACAGCACGTTCTTGAAGCCCTGGGATGAGAGCAGTGGGTGCTCCTGGTTCTGTGAGGCTGAAAAAAGCACCTTCCCCGAGCCAGGAGTGGGGTTGATCCCTCTTTCCTCTCCTCTATCCAAGCCCAGCATGGGAAGGGTTCACGTGAATGTTCCTGTTGGCCACATCCCGGTTTCCTGTGGGCCAGGAATGATCCCTTTGAAGCCCAGACCCTCCCTCACCTTCCCACACCTCACCCACCAGGGATGTCTCCACATCCCCACGGAGCTTTTGTTCGGTTTAAGGATCCGGATCTCTTTGGGATTGTTTGTACCCAGAGGGATTTTGGAGGTGTTGCTTTGCTGCTGTTGCTGCAACCCAGCCCTGACACCGTCACATGGTGATTACTAAATCCCGAGAAACGCCGGATCTTGGCTCCTGACCTGGGAAAAGAGTTGATGATTTCAAGGAATGGGCAGGACAGGGACAGCTGAGGGGAGCAGAGCACAGTGTGTTGGGCTGGGATCAGGGAAGGCAGCACAAGCTTCCTCAGGGAGCACAGTTCTTTGTTGAATTTCCAGATGTATTTGGGCATGCTGGAGACACGCAGCATTCCCAAAAAAATAACTAGGAAGAGCTCTGGATCACTTCAGTGCCGTGTGTGAACGTGGCCTGGGTAAGGGTGGTTCAGCTCTGGGGGTGGCACGAGTAGTTGTTGGGTTGTTTTGCCCTTGTTCTCCAGAAGGAAATACCACATTCCTGGGAATACAAACAGCTCCCAACCTTCCTGCACCACTCCCTGCCTCTCTCCTGGGGGGCTGGAATGTGTGGGGAGCAGCAGTGGGGCTGCTGGCCTGGGTTCCCCAGGGAGTCAGATCCGTGCCAAAGGGTGGTGTTGCCCTCCACGAGGGCCTGAAACCCTGGAAAACCCACAGGAACCTTGGAATAATTCGGACAGAGCGAAACCAGGGGGCAGTCTGGGGAGAGACAGAGGGGATGAGGTCTGGCCCACTCCAGGGGTCTGATGGGATGCAGGTTTTGGGGGATTTCTGGTGCTCAGGGCCGGTTGCCAACCCCACGCTCCCATCCCAACCTCCCTGTTGACATCCAAGGGCTCTGGATTGATGAATTTGGTTTTAATGGCTGCATCTTTAACCCTGCCATGAGCCTGGGAGACCAGAAACCCCCTGCTGGATGCCAACCAGGGCGTGTGGTTACACAACCCACACTCTCAAGCGTCTCGGGACCTGTTGTTTGTTGGGGGTTTGGGCTCCTCCCATCTCCCTGATCCCATTCCCTGGGTTTCCAACATTCTGATCAATCCAAGATTGAGCAGGGTGAGAGCTCCTGTTAACATTTCTTTGATGCCTGCAGGGAATAATGCCCTGTTTGGACCACACCACCCCATCCTACCCACTGAAGCTCAGCTGCCTGTTTGGGATTCCCGCTGGATCCACTCTGCCTATGGATGATCAACTCCCAAAACACCTCTGTTCTTGGAAAGCCCCGACAAAATGTTCTGCAAGAGCTGAGCAGGGAGCAGTTGGAGGCCACAGCTGTGAGTGTGTCCGGGCAGAGCTCCCTGGTGAGTCCTCACAAAGGAATTCTGCATTCCTCCCACTGCTCTCCCTCTTTGCAGCCTCCCCGGAGCCACTGGAGCAGGGAAGTGCCGTGCTATTCCCTGGTAGGCTCTGCAGGAGCTTTTTAAAGGAATTGGAGGATCTTTTTTTCAGTTAATTTTAATACATCCATCTCCTTGATCCACTGCTGGTGAGGCTGTGAGCCGTATTCCCCATCCCCTTGGAGCCTTTTCTTGAGGAAATTCCCTCCAATTCCCAACCTGAACCTCTCCTGGCACATCCTGGAGCTGTGTCCTCTTGTCCTTTCACCTGCAGGGTTGGCCCAGGGAGCTCAGCCCTGGCCCCTCCCCACGCTCACCTGGGTGAGATCTTGGCACCCAAAGCTCTGCCAGGTCAGGAAGAGCAGGAACCAGGAAGCTTCTCCAAAACACGGCGTTATTTGCCTTCAGATTTGGGGATTATTTCAGTCATCGTAAAACAATCACTCTTCGTGTCAGCCACAGTCAGTCCTGCCAAGCCTGTTATCCAAAGAGCCTCTTCTGTCCTGTCCCTGCTCCAACCTCCCCACCGCCCTCGGGACTGAGCGATCCCTCACCACATGTCACGTCTGCCACTTGGAACGGTGCTCAGTCCACAGCTTTGTGGCCCTTTTCCATGGCTTCTTCCCTCCCAGCTTGCTCATTTGTTTCATTTACATTAATTAACCCCGCTCGGCTCAAGCTCCTCAAGGCCCTGGTGTTCAAGGTTACAAAATTCAAATTTTCAATCCTGGCCTGAAGCTTCTTTGGTGCTCCAGGGTCCTGCAACTTGGGGCTTCCCACTGGGAAACTCCAATCTTTAAGTTATTTATTTATTTATTTATAATATTTTCATATATTTATATTTTTATATTTTTAGGAATTTATAGATTTTATATATAAATATCATTTATTACATATAAAAATAAAAGTTGTTTGTACATAACCATATATATATAAATATATCCATACCTAAGAATATATAAATCAGTGTATCTATATTTAAATTAAAAGAACACACACATTTGTAGGCTCCTCTATGCAGAGCTATATATACTGTATAGAAGGAAAAAAATGCACATTTATATGCTGGACATAACTGTGGCATTATAAGTCTATAAATTATACAGATAGAAAAATATACACATATAAAGCTGCACGCATAAAATTTACATAAACCGCGTGTGGTGTTTTATATGCATTTAAATTACATAGATGCAAAAATTATATAGATACAAAAATAAATTATACAAAAATATACACGGGTAAAACTAGACATATAAAATTTATGGACTGTATCCAGTCATTTATATGTATAGAAAAGATATACATTTATATAGTATATATTATATATGTATATATGGTATAGATATTCATATTACATATATATAATTTATTTATATATATTTATATAGTATGTATTTATTTATATAGTATAAATTTATGTATATAGTATATATGCCTCCCGTGTGGTTCTCCCTCCTCTTCAGCATCATCTTCAGCTCCTTCCTCTTCGTGTCCTTCCATCAGCCCGGGTTCGTGTGACCGTTGTTTGCTCAACAACCCCCTTTTGTCCTCCCTGCAACCTCGAGGGATGGTTGGACCAAATATTGGGAGATCCTCTTGGCCGAGGAAATTTTGGATCCACCACCAAATGCTGGGGAGAAGGAACCACCTCTTGGTTGAGGAACCAGCTCTTGGTTGAGGAACCACCTCCTTGTTGAGGGATTTTTGGACCCACTGCCAAATATTGGGAGAGGAATCACCATCTCGATGGTTTGGGGTTGGGTTTTCCTAAAGATTTGCAAACTCCACGCTCACCTCCACTTTTATTCCATGTTTTCTGGTTGGATGTCAGGCTGGGTTTATAAATCCCTCCTTTTTCCTTACTGGGAAGTCATTTTGAGAAGCTCCAACTGAGTGATGGGGGTTGAACACTCTGAGCATCCCATTTCCTCCTGCCTTATTCCTTTTTATTCCATTGCAGAATGACCAGAGGGATCCAGAACATCACCTGGGAGCTGGGATTTTTAAGCTGGGGCTTAAATGAAAAACCCTTTACCTAAAGCAACAAAAATTTGCCACTTACACTGTGGAAGTCGACAGCACACACCTCATCTCCAAGAAATTACACCCAAAATCATCCCTGGTCCCAGCCCAGCCCATCCCAAGTCCACATTTTTTTCCCTTACAACCTGATTTATTTTTCTTTGTGCTCTCAGAATAGTCAGATTTTCCAAGCAGCCTTTTTTTTTTTTTTTTTCCCTTTTGGTCGTTAAACTACACTTTGTCCTCTTTTTTTAAATTATATTTATTTATTCATTTTTGGGCGGGCTGGCAGCAGGATTTGGGCTTTCCTTGGGTTCCTCCTCCTGGAGATTTATGACTCTCCAAAGATTCTTCCTAAAATATTTACAGAGCGGAGCTCGGAGCGGGAATGTTCGACTCTGGCGAGGCTGTCAGGACTCTGGGTGGCATGAGGGGGGAATATAAACAGACCTTTTTTTCCACTCCCAAAACACCACTATAAACCTTCCCTTCTTTTTGTCTCTTCCCCCCTCTGATTGTTCCCTGTTATCCCATGCCAAGCCCTGCCAGGTCCTTGGCTTCGCCTGAAATGGGTTTTTTTCCAAGAAATCTGGGCAATTTATACCTGTTCTCGTGTGGGCATGGAATAGTTTAAACCTATTTTTGAGTGATTAATAAAATAAATCGTATTTTTTCTGGACGGATGATGTGTTAAAGGATGGGATTGGGGCATTTCCCTGCACATTAAAATATGTGTTAAATGGGGGTGATGGGTCTTTCCAGGGGGAATAGGGTGTTAATTGGGGGGTAACTGCTGTTAATTAGGGACAATTGGCGTGTTAAATGGGGACAGTGCACCTTTAATCCTATTAATTTCTGGAATGGGGTCAAACGATGCTAAAATGGGGCTCAAACAACAGGTCTAATTCCCCTCCCTGGGGGAGCTCCTGGGAACCAGGAACAGGGAGAAGAATCCTCTTTTTATTTTCACTTCGAACAGCTCCCCCTCCCCCCCCGCCGAGTTCGGGTTTGTTTAACAAAAAAAAAGATCAAACAGCTTTGTTTTTTATTATTATTATTTATTAATCCCCCTCCCCCGCCTTCCCCCCCCCAAAAAAAAAGTTCCGGATAAATGATACAAACGCAATAAAAGTCACCTGCCCTCGGCCCCGCGGGGTCAATAAATAACGTACAAAAGGGCGCGGGAGGGGCCCAAATAAATAACATAAGTTACTTCCAATAAATAGAGTATCCAAAATACAGATGCATTGCATCCACTTCTGCAGCCGGGCCCCGGGGCCCGACAATTCCGGCAGGGAAAGGGGAGAATCTGGGCGGAGCCGGGGTTGGACCGAGGGGATTCTGCTCCCAGCACGGGAAAAAGGCTCCTCTTTGCCTTTCCCCCGTTTCTACCTTTTTTTTCCCTTTTTTTTCCCCCCCTCTTTTGTCCCTTTTTTCCTTTGCCCCTTTTTCTTTTTTCCCTTTTATCCTTTTTTTTTTTGCTTTTCTTTTTTCTTCTCCCTCCTTTTCCCCTTCTTTTCCTTTTTTCCTTTTAACTCTTTCTTCCTTTCCCCCTTTTTTCCTTCCTCCCTTTTCCCTTCTTTTCATTTCCTTTTATCTCTTAACCCTTTTTTTCCTTTCCCTCCTTTTTTCCTTTCCCCCTTTCTTCCTTTCCCTCCTTTTTTCATTTTCCCTTTTCCTTAACCCTTTTAATTTCTCTCCTTTTTCTCTTTCCCCTTTTTTCTTTCCCTCTTCTTTCTCTTTCCCCCCTTTTTCCTTTCCCCTCATTTTTCCTTTTCATTTTTTTCCATTCCCCTCCTTTTATCCTTTCTTAATCTTATCTTTTCCTTATCTCCTCTTTTTCTTCCCCCTTTTTCTTCTTTTCATTTCCTTTTTCCCCTTTCCCCCCTCTTTTCCTTTCCCCTTCTCATTTCCCCATTTTTCTTTCCCCTTTTTCCTTCCTTTCATTTCCTTTCCTTTTTTCCCTCTTCCCCCTTCTCACCCCTTTTTCTTCCCCCTGTTCCTTCCTTTCATTTTATTTCCTTTTCCCCTTTTTCCCTCTCTCCTTTTCCCTTTCCTCTTCCCCTCTTTTTGTCCTTTTTTCCTTTTATTTCCATTTTCCCCCCTTTTCCCTTTCCTCCCCTCCGAGGCCCAGGAGGGACACACGTGGCCACCCCATTCCCTCTTTCCAACAGGAAGAAAACCAAGGCTTTGAACACCACCAACACACAATTTACCTGGATAAACCAGGAAAACCCCTTCTCCCCAGCAGGATCCTGGAGCTGGTTAATCAGGGAATGCTTCCCTTGAGAGTGGAAACAACGATCCTAAACCCAATTCCCGCTCCCCGACACCAAACCGGGAGCGAGACCCCAGCAGCAAACGGGATCAGCGCGGGATGGGTGGATCCTGAAATCCTGGATCCTTCCTGCCCCAAACACAGCGTGAACACCCAGAGATGTGCAGAGTAAACCTCCTGGAACATCCCATAACCTGTGGCTGGAGAGCTGGGAGAACACCACCCTCATCTCTGGTGCTGTCACAACCGTGAGGGCGATTTCAAACATCTCCTCGTGCCTCCCAACCTCCTGATTTCCCAACCCCTCCTCTCCCGGGCTGGGAACAGCAAAGCTGCAGCAAAAACCAACCCCCAGATCCTCCCTGACAGATGTTGCACACGGGTTGTTATTATTATTATTAATATTAATATGAAATAACACGTGGGAGGAGGAGGAAGGAGCCAGATGCGATCCTGCTGCAGCTTTGGGGAGGGAATTTTCCATCTTTTTTTTTTTTTTTTTTTTCCTCCCTCTTTCTGCATTGTAGACATTCTTCTGGACAGCTCCAGCTCCTATTACAGCAGAGAGGGCTGGAGAAATGGAAAGCATTAGGGAAACCTATTGGAACCACATTTCCAGGGCTGAGCAGTGACGTGGGATGGCACCGGTGGAGCTGCAGGAGCCCCATGGAAGACACGGAAGCAGAATCCATCCTTTTGGCCTCACTACAATGCCTCAGCTCACCCCAAGAGCCCATCAGGGATTTTTTGTGGTTCCAAACTCCAGCTGCTCCCAAAAAAAAAAAAAAAAGCATCAGAAGCAGTGTGTGGCAGAGGGGGATGTCCCCTCTGGTGCCAACAAGGGGGAAATGGGGGAAAAAGAGCAAAAAATGATGGATTGGAGCTATTCCTGTTGGTTTGAGTCGGGGTTTCTTCCCAACTTTTGGGGGTTCCAAGCTGGATTTGTACTGGGAATGGGGCAGCTGAGGGGAGGGTTGACAGCTGGGAGATGTCCCACCCTGAGCCTTCTCCACCTGCTCCCACATCCCCTCATCTTCCTGCTGCTCCCACCACCGTCCTGGTGAGAGGAGGGTCCCTTGGCCAGGTGCCTGCCAAGCAAGGCTCCCTAGATCCCAAAATTCTGCCCAGAAATGTCCCAAAGCAGGGTGCAAACACTCCACCACTCCCTGGGCACAGGGTGCTGTGAGCAGAGAGGCAGCTCCTGCTCCAAATGCCCCTCCGAGGTGCCGGGTCCTGCACTGCTTCCACAACACCTTCCCTGCCTTTATTGCTCCGGTTCCCTTTCTTTTTTTTTTTTGTTGTTTCACTGGAGGCTTCTGCAAGAAAACTAATTTTAGTTTTATGGCAGCGAGACCTGGAAAGCGCCCAAGCCCTTGAGAGGCCCGTTATTGTTATTATTATTATTATTATTATTAGATTTGGGTGCTTTTTTTTCCCTTAAAATCCATCCCGAGCCGCTGATCCGGCGCTGCTCCCGCTGCCCGTCTGCTGTTCCCATCCTCCAGCTGATTATTTTTTGCCACTTTTTCCCTTTCCAGCCAAATCTAGGGGTGCAAACACACCTTGGTTCGGGGATATGCCTGCACCTGGAGTGTGGGGTGTCTCTGCTTTCAGCCACATTCCCATTCCCGGGATGCAGGTTCACCCCTGGGAGTAGGGGGGGGGTATTTCACCCCTCCCACCCCTCTTGGCTCAGCTGCCTCCTCCTTTTTCCCAAAGTGCAGGGAAAACTCAGTGTTACAGAGTGCAGGCTGCCAGCCCTGCTGAAGGATGGTGTTTATATTCCCTCACTACATCCTGGCTCCGCTCAGCCAAGAGCCACGTTTGGATGAAAAGCAAAGGGGGAAAAAAAAAAAATAGACCCACCAGCCTGGTCCGTTGAGGAGGTTGGGAATGTGGCTGGTCACACACAGGAGATGCTGTCTCCCATCTCCCATCCCATCCCAGGGGATGCCAACCTGATCCCCTAAATCCTGCCCCTTTGAGGAGGTCGGGAATGCAGCTGCTCACACACACACAGCTCTCCCATCCCACCCCATCCCATCCTCGGGATGGCTTCCCCTGCTCCCCTAAATCCTGCAGCACCATCCCTGGGCTGCTGGGATCATGGACACAAAGCCCTCCTCCACCTTGGGATGAAGGGACATGGAATTTTCCCCCCCCCTCCCCAATTTCTCCAGAGTGAGGAGCTGGGATGACTCCGTGACAGGGGGGAGCTGCACACGGAGCATTTTCCCTCGCTGTTGGTTAATGCCCAGGACATGACACCAATATTCTCCTTCTGTTTATGATTTGCTTTTTCTGGGAAGGGAGCCAAGGGGGAGAAAAAAACCCATCAATCCCAGGCAACAAATCGAGCCTGCCCAGGGAACGTGAAAGTCTGCGGGCTCGTTTATCTCCCTGCAGAGTAAACAGCAGTGACACTGCTGTAAATGTGAGGGGAGCCAAAGCCAGGCCCCAGTCCCCTCTCCCGCACCATTCTGGCTGTTGGGGGGATGCTCCTGGGAGAGCTGAGCGGATTTTTTTGGGAGATGCCAAACCAGGAATGCTCCTGCCAGCCCCAGGAAGTGCCACCGCTCTGCTGGTGGCCCGGTGAGGTTGTGTCACCTCCCTGGGCTCCAGCCCAGCTGCCCGTGGCGGGGGCACGGGAGGTTAATCCAGTTATTCAGATTATCCCGAGTTGTAAGAAGCAAAGCCCCCAGGGCTGCTGGAATGAGACGATGGCAAAAGGGGCACGAGCGGAGCCAGAGCCTCTCACAAACCACTGTGGGTGCTTCCTCTGCCCCCAGACGTGGGGATTTGGGGGCTGAATTGTCCCTGGGCAGAGAAGGGAGGTCACAAAAGTCTGGGAAACCCCCCCCTCCCAGCTGCAGAGTGCAGGGCTCAGGGCACCTGTAGCTGTGTGACACACTCTGAACCTGGAATGCACCCCAAAACACACAGTGTGTGTGCAGCACACCCCAAAACACGCAGTGTGTGTGCTGGACACCCCAAAACACTCACTGCATGTGTGCTGGACACCCCAAAACACACAGTGTGTGTCCTGGACACCCCAAAACACTCACTGCATGTGTGCTGGACACCCCAAAACACACAGTGTGTGTTCAGCACACTCCAAAACACACAGTGTGTGTCCTGGACACCCCAAAACACACAGTGTGTGTTCAGCACACTCCAAAACACACCATGTGTGCAGGACACCCCAAAACACACAGTGTGTGTCCAGCACACCCCAAAACACTCGCTGTGTGTGCAGCACACCCCGTCCAGCCCCACACGCCACCGGCACTACTCCACAGGCAGCAACACCCCCACACCACCCCATGCTCACCGTCACCACACCAGCACGTGCTGCACACCCCACACGGAACCCCTGGCACGTGGGGACCACCCCGAGCAGGGGAC